CAATTCCGATTCCCCTGGACTGGGATACAGCGTGGCAGCCTTGGCCCAGAACTTGTCTGCTTGGAGCTTATGTCGGATATATGATCGGTCTGACAACTTTTACTAAAGCATATGGAAGTCTAAACTGTTATAGTTTCAAATTAGCTGTATAGCAAAATTTTGTATTTGTTTTCGTATCAGTTTTTAATCGCTTGATTTATAGTTTTCCTCTTTGTGTTACGATTTGCCTCCTCAAAATAGTCTTTAATTTTAATTTTTTCATTCATTTGTTTCAATTAAGTCAGATATTACTCAGGGCTCTGCAATGAATCATTGAATAAACATTTATTTGCAATATTTGAAAAACAATTATTGAAATTGTCCTTTGACAATTTCATTCATTAAGAGTAGTGAGCGTAGTGAGTACTCTTATATAGTTCTTGCTGTTTTTTTTTCAGGAAAGTCTTAAAATTTGTTCACGCTCAGTTTTGATTTTTCGCTGTTTGACTTGTGATTTCTTTTTTTTAGTTCAGTGCATTTCCATTGTTAAAAGGAAGGCAAACTCCACTATCGGATAGCAAAAGTGTAAAGGTCACGAAAAACGTGATCGACTTTAAGTTTTAAAGTGGATTGTAATTTTCACTTTTTCCAAGGGAATAAAATCTTACTTTTTGATCCAGTTTTCTTACATTGATTAACTTCATCAAAAAGTATCAAGCATACATTTTTTTCTTGTCTTCAAATGCGGAGAGCTTTAAGGTCATATGTTTTTTTTCTTTGAAATCCGAAAGTTGGAGCTTTTTCAAAAAACATATATCTTTTTTTCATTGCGTTATTTGTTATGTTTTCGTTTGTATGTTGACTATGTTTTTAGGTTAACATATGATAGTTGGGTCCCTTAAATTAGGATGGATCCCTGAAGAAAATTGTTAGGCGTTAAAAACTTCGAAAACATTGTTTGCACTTGGTTAATTGTTTTTGAATTTTTCTCAATCTGCGGGACCCATTTTTCATACTTACTTTTTCGTGGCACCGAACTGTCATATTTTTTACTTCTCTTGAATTCACCGCGGAATAAAAAGTTGAGGTAAATATCCGTTTTTCTCTAAATGGGATAACTTTAAGAATAAAAAGCCAACTGTAAACAATTATTGAACTTAAAAGCTGCATCCTTGAGTTCTTTTACATTTTTCAATCATCTATTGGCTGTGGTTTCTTTTTACGAAGTTCTCTGGTAATAGATGATTTTGTTGAACAGAAAACTCAATAGATTTAAACTCAGTTTCTGGAACAAATATAATTAATTCAATACGGTTCTACGCCGATATTTTGAATTTCATCTCGTTCGGTAATAGACTCGTAGTTTCCGTCTTGAAACTTTCTGAAAGCAGCGATCAGAGCGTTACAATTGTCACTTTGCCAGGCAAGGCATTTATCTACATCGCGAGAAAGTTGTTTTCCAATGTTTCGTTAACTTCAGTAGCCGTTGTGATAGCTTTGGAGTCATTGACTTCTTTGAAATCGATTATCTGGACACTTTGTTTCCAATCTTTACTCAAATGTGAGATTGAAACGAGTAAAACTGTTTTACATTTTATGTTAGTCCAGTGATCTAGCTGTAATCCATAATAGTCAACCTTTTTGAGCTTCTGCAGAGTCCCCTGTACCATATCGCAAATGTCCTTCTCAACTGTTTTATAGTCTGGAATACTTTTGTACTCGATAAGTTTTGATAAAAACGTTCGAATGTTAGGGACTCGGAAAATATTGACAGGAAGCAATGTCTGGACAAAAGCCATGCTCACTTCTTGGCGCTTTTTTGCTCCAAATTTACCATTATTCCAGTTCCTGAAATCCGCATTTGACCGTTCTCTAATGATGCCAAGAAAGAATCGAAATTGTCCCGATGCTTCGCTCTGAAATGGGACTGGCCATTCGAAAGGAAGTTCACATCGACCATTCCTGGAAGTTCTATGTCACAAAGTTTTCATTTATAATGTTTTTTCCCCGCCACTTTGTCAAAATATTGCTCGAGAAACTTTCTTTCTTTTGATTTTGGTTTTCCTCTGATCGCAGGCATGTCAAAAAGTACAAAAACTGTGAATAGTTGATGCACTTACATGTAACAAGCTGTAAAACGTCTAATAAACAACGAGACGGTTAATAATTAATAACGTTAAGCCAACGACGAATGAGTTAAAGTGTTTTACAGTACGCATGATATGCTTTCGAATATGCATGATATGCTTTCTATTAAACACGCCAGCTCATTCCTCGTTGGCTGACGATTGTTTAATTGATGTACATGTATCTCGCTCGGCGAGCAGCTAATGTAATCCGCCGAGTCACCACAACGATCATTTATAAACTTCCTGACTATAAATGATTAATTTATTCATAATTTAAATTATGATTATAAATGGTCATCACTGTGGCGAGCAGCTAGTGTTCTAGTACGAACATTCTTTTTTTGTTCTAAATTAACTCGCAAATAAAAGTTTTCCTTGAAAGTGGAAATTGTTCACTTATTCGGTTAACACTTTTGCTATAATCACGATCTAGCCTTGGAAATTTTGTAGCACCTGTTCTCCGCCTTATTTGTGGCTAATGTTTGTGAAGAGTTAAGCGTCCGTGGCTGAGTGGTTAGTGCGTGAGACTCATAATCTCTGGGTTTTGACTAGTTTTTGTCGGTTGCTAAGCGTTCGTGGCCGAGAGGGCAGGGCGTGAGGTTCCAAATCTGGATGCTTCAGTTTGAAATCAGATACGTAAAGCAAAATTTTATTAATTCGAGGATTGTTTCCGTTTTTCTTCGTTCATTTTACTTCGCTTGCGATTAGAAAGTGTTATCAAATCGAAAAATAGACTTTTTTTGGGTTAACAACTGTTCAACAGAATTAATTTTATTAATTCGAGGATTGTTTCCGTTTTTCTTCGTTCATTTTACTTCGCTTGCGATTAGAAAGTGTTATCAAATCGGAAAATAGACATTTTTGGGTTAACAACTTGTTCAACAGAATTAATTGGCATCTTCTAAATTTTTAAGAGCCTCCGGCACACTTAGTCTGGGGCTAACGAATACGCCTGGGACGCTATCAGATACCGTTGCGGTAAGGCTCTTGCGTTGATCTTTTCTTAATTAGATACTATTCAAAAACACTGAGTTTATCTTTATAATAGTAGCAGCCCATCTTTGGGTGGACTCGGTCAAAGTGATTTACTTCAATATGCAGTAAATAGATACGATATCGGCAAATAAATTACATAACATGAACTCTTCAACTGTAGATAAGAAAGTTTCACCTTCTAAATATTTTACATAATACGATCTATTCAACTATGGATATGGAAAGTTCCTCATTAATAATGTCAACAACATTACAGACGCCAAAGTTCCGGGGTTCGAAACAATAGGACGCCTACAATAGTCCGTTTCAGAAAAAATTGCGGGGTTTTTATTGTCTGCTCATTCTGTCGGCTTAGTAACCATATTGTAGAAGTTTTTTGAAAGTTTATTTTAACTTTATAGTTGCTTTTAGTGTTCTGACTTACCTTCGCTATTTGTTATTTCACTTAACTTGATTTCGCATATATATATATATATATATATATATATATATATATATATATAAAATATTTTTTTTTCGCTGAAAAACTTTATTCTGCCCAAATGATTTCAGCCTAATGTTTATTGGCCTAGTGACCTGATTTCGAGTTGTTTCAACGGAACTATAATGCTTCAATTTGATGCTAAATGCTTCAATGCTAAAGTTCTTAATAGAATTAGTTAAAGTTTTTCGTAGTAAATTTTTTTCCGGCTTTTTTTGTTTCCTTTTTTTCTGCTTGATTGTTTTCCGTTTATTGACCTGGAGCGAAAAAAATTTTGTGCGTGCGTGTCTTTGTTTTGAGGCTGAGGGGGACTTGACAGCTTCATATTAGTCTTAATTTTTTTCGGCTTTCTTTTTTTGGCTGAATAGGTTTCGGCCTTATATCGGCGTAGTGGCCGCACATTGTTTCATTTGGGAGCAACTTAAGTGTTTTGAGGGTGAGTTGGACTTTTTAATTTTTCATAAGTCTGAAGTCTTGTTGATTTTTATTGTTCAAAAGCTGTTTCTGAAAAAAAAATGGGATGCTAAATTCATCTCAAAATGTAGGATAGACGGCGAATTTTTGTTGTTCGAGGTTCTTTTTATGTTACATTGTTATTTGAACTATTGAGTTTTTGATTGTATTTAAGTTTATTGAACGTAGTGAAGGCTCTTTTATAAGTCTTGCTGATTTTTGTTAAGTAAAAAGTCTTAAAATGTGCATAAAATGTGCTTTGAGTTTTTTTAAGAGTAATGAGCATGGTGAAGACTGTTAAATAGGTCTTGCTGTTTTTTTTTGTTTTTTTTTTCAGGAAAAGTCTCTTATAACTACAGATGTGCATTCATACATATTGATGCATTTATGAATCTAATATATGCACTTTTGAGTTCAATTGAAATTCATCCGCTGAAAGTGACGTAAATAGCACTCTCCAACTATGAACGTGATCCAAATACGAACGTGGAAATGGCGCGAAAAAACGTGAACGCTTTCTAGTTTCAAAAGTCGAATTTAATTTTTAGATTTCCAGCGGAATAAAAACTTCACCAGTTCATCCAGTTTTTTCAGTTGGGTTGATGTTATCAAAAAAGCACCAATCGTAAATTGTTCTAGAAATTCAAGGATCTTAGAGGGTATCTATTTTTTTCTTTGAATTTCGAAAATTCGATTTTTTCAACAGTCTGTTTTTTTTAAATGTTTACTTGCGTTCGTTACTCTTTTCCAATCTTCGATTGGCTATGTTTTAAAAGCATTGCAATGATTGGGTCCAATTATTGACTGTAGTTGCCCTTGTCCAATTATTGTATTAACGATTCAGTTTTAGAACAATAATATTGCAATTAATAGCTGCAGATCCCTGGTATTACTGGCGCCTTACTGTTAAATGCTAGATACAGGTTAAATGTTTAAGGCGTTCTTTCATTTCAGAAGCCAGAATGAGTTCAAAATTCGGCCATGTTATTATAACTTCGTCTTGTATATTTTGTCGATCGGCGCTTTCCTACGCATTTGTGAACAAAAAGCCAATCGCGCCCGGTCACGTGCTAGTAGCTTCAGACCGAGAGGCGAAAAGATTCAACGACTTGTCTCCAGAAGAAGTCTCTGATCTGTTTAAACTTGTTCACAGAATATCGCCTATAATTCAAAAAGTTTTCAATGCCACTGCATTAACGATTGCAATTCAAGATGGCGCGGCCGCTGGTCAAACCGTAGAGCATGTGCACGTGCATATTGTTCCTCGAATCGAAGGGGATCCGTTGCAAGATGACCGAATTTACGAAGTGTTGCAAACGCATGAAAAGAAAGATGATATTAAATGGAGAACCGACAATGAAATGGAAACTGAAGCAACACTGTTGAAAGAGTATTTTGAAGAAAATGATGATGAATATCAACAATAAAATTATTTTTTGTTTTGGGCTCGCTTGGGCTTAAGAATATCTTCCGTTACCAAAGCTTTTCGCTATTTAATATGGCTGATTTTCTGTCACTTATATCACATTTGATAACTAAAGCAATAATTAATATTTCTTTCAAATATTTCTTGGAGGCCACGCTTTGAGACAGAAACTAACCAGAAAAACGCGGCGAATTTTCTTAGAAGTGCCACCAAATTGATGCAATCAATGCCTTTTTAATTATTTTTGATTTCTCGAATGGTTCGATACAAGTGCTATTATCAGAATGTGCGAAAGAATAACGTTTGACATAGCAAATATTTTTTATTGGTTTTCCCCTTGAAATTATTTTCTTTGTATCAATTTAAAATAACGCGTGGCAAGTCAGCTGACAGTAACCAATGCTCAGCTTTTTCTGAGCTGCAGACGAGTTTTTAGAATGACAATGAAGAATGCGGTCTTCCGAGTATAATTATGAGTTTTGGTCGCTTTGATATCGGTGCGAAGGTCAACACGAGGGCCCCCGGGACGTGCAAAAAATGTGGATACTGTAAGTGTTTCTCTCATAAAAACCGATTTTTTCTCTCATTTTGAAAATATAGAGAAAAACTTTCGAACATCTTTAAAAATTGAACCGATTTGGAAACAGTCAGTTTGCTTTTTATTCAAATATGCAGAAGAACTCAAAAATTGATGTTTTTTAGCGGGTCATTTAGCCTACCAGTGTTATAACACAGTGCAATTCCAGCCTCTCCAGAAATCAGCAACATTTTCAACTGGGAGTGTCAAACCGGGTACGGCAACTTCAGTATCCAGTTGTAGTAACCAGATAATATTGGATGTGAGTAGCACGAGTAGTGACTCAGATGGAAGTGACAAATTGACTCCTCTGCAGAAACTGAACAGAGACGAAGATAAAGAAAAGAAAATTAAAAAGAAAAGTAAGATCAAATAATGCCGCAAGATTAAGTTATACGTTGTTTTTGACCTGTTTTTTTTTTGTCGGAAACAGGCGCAAAAAATTTGGCGACGTAAGGTATGTATGCAGTTTTGAGAGAAGCCGGAAAATCGATTTTGTCGGCCTTAAAAAGGTCAAACAAAATTCGAAAATTTGGTTCATTCCGTCCTCCTTGAAAAAAGATCTAACCCTCCTCCTTGAAAAAAGATCAGAAGCTAATTGGGAGCTATCTACAGTTTAAACTCATGTGTAAATGAGTTTTTTTCATATTCTTTGCGTTTTTTGTACAGCTATTTTGATTGGTATAGCATTTCAGCTATGGTACTAATGATTTGGGCTGACATCCGGAATAATTTAATAATCGGAATTTTTGAAAGTTATTTTTACTGAGAATTTCGAACCCAAAATTTCAACATAACATTTTCGGCGACTTGAATGGGCAGTCATAACTTTCAGGGCTCTGCCCTGATACGAGCAATCTTATTCAAATCTTGTCAATTAGCCTTAAGCTTTAACTCAAGAACTGGCTGTTTATTTAGAAAAGAAGGTGAAAAAGAAAGAGAGGAAGGCTTCTGAAAAATACGCACACAGGTAAAGAAAACTCCAAGCCACAATAAAAGCTGGATTATAATACCATCAGAAGTTGATCAATTATTGGAAGAAAAAACTATTTAACGCTAATTGTTTTTCAGCTCATCGTCCAGTGATGACGAATCTTCAGATGAATCAGAAAAGAAAAGAAAAAGTAAAAAGAAGAGAAAGAAAAGCAGCGGGGATAGAAAAAGCAAAGAGAAAAGCAGAAAAAGTAGAAAACATTCTTCAGCTTCTAGTCATTGATACCGATGACTATGATGAAGAATATTTGATCTTCTGGCGTTTCAACAAACTTATTATTTTTCCCTCTGGTTTTTATTGTTTTAGGATACATTGTCGTGTATTGAATAGATAGTTTGCTCATTATCGTGTTTAATTGATAATGATTTAAACAAAAAATAACCCATTCACCCTATTATGTTTGCAAATCTGATTGAACTGAAATGATTATAATTTAGTTGTATTCCGTTTTCAGACGACTGATTTGTAAACAAGAATACTTCTAAAATGGCAGATTGTCTCAGTGTCTTGCGCGAATATCGCATGACCAAAAAGCCGATCAAAGTCGAGGACGACTTGGTCATTTTTGGAGACAAAGCATGGCCGAAAGACACAAAAACGAACTACATTCGATACGACGCAAATTCGGGCCAAGAAGATTACTACACACTATTCTCGTTGGTTGATTTCCTGGATAATATTAATTTACCGCATCATCATTACGTGAAAGAATCGTCCTCAAAACAGATTCCAGTAGTCAGATTGCCAGATCGAAAAGATTTGGAGAATTATCTTCAAGGCATAACCAGTTCTTCGACTAGGATTGACAGAACAGCTCCGATCCAAATTGCAATTCCAAGAGGCGAAAAGAGACCTTTGGGATCTTCTAATCGAGGAATAGATGCGAAAAAACTGAAGCAAGATTCAAGCTCGAAATCCAGACAGGATGATGATGGATCAGGTGCGGGATCTGGGGCGCCTGTTAGTTCTTTAACCGAAGCGATTCCTCAAGAGAAGCTACAGGAGTTGATAAAGAAACGAAAAGCGGTGATTATGAAGTCAACAAAACCTGTAATATCGGATGATTTTGTGGCGCCTCCAAACTTGGTCGAAAATAGACTTGGAATGAGCGCCGAAGAAGCGATTAAGTACATAACGAGTAAAGAGAGAGTTTGGAGAACAAGATCAACCATTCTTCAAAGTACGGGAAGCAAGCTGATTGGTCAAAACGTGGGGCTCATTTTACAGTCAGTGCGGGCCATTGAAGGTGGGGGAGGTGCAAGTTCAAAAACAGAGCAAAAAGAAGATCAGTTGAAAGAAAAACAAAATCAGCCGACACATTACAACAGGTACGACCAGGAAAAATTCAAAGGTCGCGAGGATACAGAAGGGTTCAAAATCGATACGATGGGAACTTACCACGGACTGAGTTTGAAATCAGTGAATCAAGGCTCAAATAACAGTTCGAACAGCAGACCAAGTTCTCAGAGTGCATCATATAGCCATTCGAGTAGCAGTAGATCTCCAAGTAGTGCTCCTCAGAAAAGAGTCTCAAAGACGCCTATTATAATTTTACCGGGTGGAAGTTCATCTTTGATTTCTATTTTCAACGCCAAAGATATCCTGCAAGACCTCAGATTTGTTTCTTCAGAGCAAAAAAGACAAGAGGGAACGAGGCGCGACGCGGAAGTATTACTCCACAGGAGCAAAGCGATCGGAGGTCAGTCCGTATCGGTTCCCTATCGGGTCGTGGACCTTCCGAGTAAGTTGACGATGGAGGAATGGGACCGAGTTGTAGCATGTTTTGTCCAGGGTCCGGCTTGGCAATTTAAAGGATGGCCTTGGCTAGCTCCAGATGGATCTCCCACTGAAATATTTCTGCATATGAAAGCGTTTTACATGCAATGGGACGATCTGCCAATCGATAAAAACGTGCAAAAATGGGACGTCCATATTTTGAAACTGAGTCGCAACCATAGGCATTTGGACCGAGCAGTTATCTTGAAGTTCTGGGAAGCATTAGATAAATGGGTCGGCAAGCACAAGCCTAATTTGAGAACTTAATTGAGTTTAAATATCATAAATTTTTCCTTTATGTTTTGAAATGGTCATGACAGAAGCTACTCATGGGTCAAATTGATCAGAAACAGCTCCGTGTAGCGTTGGGAGTATTATTTTTTTGTCAAAAATTGATATCAGGTGGCTTTCTTTCTCTCTTAATTGTGTTAATTGTTTTGTTAGCTGGTAAGTCAAATGATGCTTTTATGCAAATATTAATTTAGTATTATTTTCTGAAGGAATCGTTTTAACTTAGCTCAAAAAACTAATTTGATACAAAAAGTACCAAAATTTTGTTGTTAATGATACGGCACGCTGAGGGTAGGCAGCAAAGGTGTTCAGAACTTCCGGAGCTGATGTGCTCAACTCATGATTCGACCGAAACGGTTGAACGATGTACGTTTTCGACTTTTTGAGTCGAAAGATTTCCGTTTTCGACTGTATTGAACAATTCCCGCGTTCGACTTGGTTCGACTTAACGTGCCATCGTTTCGTTGTTCTATATTCGATTTATATGACATCGTTCTACTGTATCAAACATCGTTTGATTTTTATAGACTTTACCGGATATCGATCTCCGTGCGACTCAAAAATGAATGTCGCGACTTTGCGCGACCAAGGAAACTATGAGCGATTTACTAGACCTAGAACAATCTGCGCGATCCCGAAACAATCTGGGTTTCAGAAGAGTTTTAATACCCTTTAAATATAGAATTTATTGCTAGAAATGCGAAGAACAGTACTGAATTGAAGTATGATCCAATCTCTGATATGCAAAATTTAGTCGGAGATACAGCTGTAAATTATAGAATAACTTTTTGTGATAGAAAAACAGCGTGTATTTTTTATTAACCATGAAGATAAGGAACTTCTACCAGTTGTTCTGGCCATTGAAAATAGTGAGGAATTTTTGTCTTCGGTTGTGTTTTAATTTTTTAAGAGTTGAACGCAGTGAAGACTCTTATAAATAGGCCGTGAAAATAGTTTTTCGGGAAATTTGTGCACGCTCAATTTTTGCTTTTCGGGGTTTGACTTTTGATTCATTTTCCGTTCTATTCTTTTTTCTAAAAGGAAGGCAAACTGCGCTAACAAACAGCAAACGTCTAAAGATCGCGAAAATGATCGAATTCTACTTCGGAAAATTTTTAGATTCTCAGCGGAATAAGTTTACATATTGATCCAGTTTTCGCCAGGTGGGTTAATTTAACTAAAAATAAGTGCTAGTTATGAATTGTTCTTGAAATTCAAGGAGCTTGAAGGGCATTGAATCTCGAGTTGAAGTTAACTTAGTTTTTTTTGTTTCCTTTTGTTTACTTTTCTAACTGCCTATTGGCTATTTTTTTTAAAATTTCCGCGCAAAATCAGGTACCACTAATAATCGTCAGAATGGGTCGAGTGATATATCATTTTAAAGACCTTAAGTCGATAATCGATTGACATGAAAAAAACTTTCAGAAAATTTTCCGTGTTCTGAAATTTTTTTGAGTTCAAGTCTCATTTCGAGCGAGTAAAGCAAGCGAGAAGGTCCTATGAATGAGGTTTTTCATTTAAAAAGTAAAAAACTTAGTTTTACTCTGTAAAAACTAATTTTCGAAGCTTTATTTTGCGCTTTCTCGGCAAAAAAGTTTTTTTTAAAATAAATTGTTCTACAAAAATTCAGAAAATTTCCTACATATTTTTTGTTTAATAATCATTTTTCGAAGACATATGTTGTCGATTATGCCAAATTGACTTTCCATTTACTCTATTGTATGGTTCTTTAATCACATCACGCACTAAAATTGTCATTACTTCTACATTTTTTAAGAAGATGGTCGGACATTCTGTGCAAACAGCTGTCCTTGTTTTTAAGCTTTATTGCTACCAGAATTGTGTTTGACCTCAAAAGTTTCAGTTTCTTGAAAAGTAACTAATTGGAGTGTATTTATTGATTTCAATTTTTTTGATGTGTTATAGATACGGTCCAGGAGGTTAAGAGTGCCTCAAAGGCAAATCTATTTTTGCTGCCCTTTGTGGACCGATTTAGTCAACGTCTGTTTGTCTTTTTTTAAGGTTTGTTGACAAAGCATTATAATTTTTCTTCAGGTTTTTTTTCGTCAACCAGAAAACCGTTTTCCTGAGCTCACTTGATAGTTCTGAGAGCAAATCTATTGCGATCGGGTAGTAGACACTTCCACGTGAACAACTTCTTCCTCGCAGTGTATCTCCTTATTACCAGCTGATCAGACGATGTTGCATTTTGAATAACCGTTTTTTTGATTTTTTGATGTTGTTTATTTCTTTTTTGTTTCGACCATTTGAACAGTTTAGAGGAACTTTGTCTTCGGGTGCGTTTCAGTTTTTCTTTTCCACACAAAATTATTGGAATGGGTCGAGTGATATATCATAATAAAGCCATTTCAGACGTGATTTGAACGACATCGAACGTCATTGTCAAGAAAACCAGTTTAATATTTTGATTTTTGTGAGGTTGACCAGGCTTACAAAAGCTTATTTATGCTTAATTTAAGCCGCGAGATCTTGGTTTTGCTCGGGTAAAGTTAATTTTTTAGCGCCAATTCGGGAATCAAAAACTTGAAAAATCAAACAATTTCTGCAAAAAGTTAGAAAAAATTGTGAGGTTTATGAAATTTTAAGGAGCTGTTTTATATTTTTCTGAAAAAAAACTGTTTTGCAATTGGCATATTTGACTATGACAGTCGCATTTGCTCAATTTCTATTTTTTCGTTTAGATTTTTTTATCACACCACACGGGAAAAAAACGTCCCTAATTTGAAGAAAAATGTTTGTATTTTTTAAGACTGGTCGGATTATTCTGTGCTACTTGCACAGTAACCGGCTATCCTTGTTCTTTTATTGTTTTTTTTTCGGCTAAAATTGTTTGAGCTTATATTATATCGGGTTAATTGCCTGATATGGCTTCTGTTGATGAGCGAAAGAATTCTGGTGATGAGTTCCTTAATGAAGTCCTTTTTTTGCGTTTTCGTTCGTCGATTTTGTGTTATCATCGGCTCAATGCGTTTTCGTCAATTTGGTCGCCCTCTCCCATGTTCGGCTGCTCCGATGCTAAGTTAGGTAGTGCAATTTCCTAGCCTGCGATTTATATCATATTTTTTTTGCTGCAGTATGTGTTTTTCGACATGTTTTCGCAAGTTGAACATCATTCGAGACAAGCGTATGAAATTTTTGCAAATGTAGCTTTTTCGACATTTCTTATTTTCTGTTTGACACGATGACTTTTGTCTCATTTTTTTACTTAATCGCTTGCGTTCAATGCAATGCATGTGTGATTACGCATGTGGTGCGAAGTTAGGCTTCGCCTCTGTGGAATAAAATACGATCAAACCGTTTCAGCAATCTTACGTGAGGCGCGATAAAGCCTGAAGTCATAAATCATCAACTCTGCCCTGCTCATAAATACATTTATTATGGATTTGATATATTTCAGACGCTTCTTTGAATGATTACATCAACGCACTCTTCGAGACATGATAAGATCCTCGAGTAGAGCTACCCGGTCAATTTTGGCTTCAACTACAAACCTCAAACTAACCAGCAACCGCACATTAACTCAACTTAATTTAACCTCTGTAAACGTAAACAGAAGAATGTCAGACTTCAGAACCGAAAGCGATACTTTTGGGAAACTCGAAATCCCGAACGAGAAATATTATGGCGCTCAGACAAAACGGTCGACCATGAATTTTGACATTGGTGGCGAGAGCGAACGAATGCCGTTGCCTGTTATCAAAGCGTTTGGTATATTGAAAAAAGCAGCAGCATTAGCTAATGTAAAGCATGGCCTTGATCAGAAAGTAGCAAACGCTATTGCAGAAGCGGCCGATGAAATTGTAGAAGGAAAATTGAACAGTCATTTTCCGCTCGTAATTTGGCAAACAGGTAGCGGAACTCAGAGTAATATGAATGTTAATGAGGTTATTAGTAACCGAGCGATAGAGATTTTGGGCGGGAAACTTGGAAGCAAAGACCCCGTGCACCCTAACGATCACGTCAACAAAAGTCAAAGTTCAAATGACACTTTTCCGACAGCTATGCATGTTGCGGTTGCTATGGAAACGACTTCAAAGCTAATACCTGCCATGGGAAATTTAGCTGAAGCTTTGAATAATAAATCGGAAGAATTTAGTCAAATTGTTAAAATCGGAAGAACTCATACTCAAGATGCAGTTCCTTTAACTCTAGGCCAAGAATTCAGCGCGTATGTGCAACAACTGAAAAACGGCATCGAACGTGTGAAAGGATGTTTGCCAAGGGTTTATGAACTAGCTATTGGAGGCACAGCTGTTGGCACTGGTTTGAATACCAAAAAGGGCTTCGCTGAAAGTGTCGCTGCCAACATAAGCGATATTACTGGACTCCCATTTACAAACGCGCCAAACAAGTTCGAAGCTCTAGCTGCTCATGATGCTATGGTTGAAATATCAGGAGCTCTGAATGTTATTGCAGTTAGTTTAATGAAGATTGCGAACGATATTAGATTGTTAGGATCCGGACCCAGATGTGGTTTGGGAGAGCTGATTTTACCAGAAAATGAACCAGGAAGTAGCATCATGCCTGGAAAAGTTAACCCTACACAATGTGAAGCTATAACAATGGTAGCCGCGCAAGTTATGGGCAACCACGTAGCGGTTACAATCGGAGGTAGCAACGGCCATTTTGAGCTTAATGTGTTCAAACCGATGATAGTAGCGAATGTTCTGCGATCGATTAGACTTATTTCTGATTCGTGCGAGTCATTCCGGAAGAACTGCGTTGTCGGAATTCTGGCGAATAGCGTTCAGATCGAGAAACTGTTGCATGAGTCGTTAATGTTAGTGACGGCTTTAAATCCGCATATTGGCTATGACAATGCGGCTAAAATTGCAAAGACGGCTCACAAAGAAGGAACTACACTTAAAGAGGCGGCCCTTAAATTGGGATTACTGACTGAGCAGCAATTTAATGATTGGGTTAAGCCAGAAAATATGTTGGGGCCATCTGATTAAGGTGGATGCAATTACAGATGAAATAGGGGTTGAGAAGGTCTGTTTGATGAGAAACTTATAAAAATTGTATATTTGATGCATTTGTGCATTATATCAGTTAAACGCGAAACTTGATGACCTTGATTACTAATAAAGATTGTCTAATTCTGAGAGATTTATTTAATCGTGGAAGCGCTCGATTTGAATTTTTATCGGTTGTCGTTGCGAGCTGGAAGTTGGATATTTATGCTGAAATACACTGACTCGTTGCTCAAGGGTAGCTTTGTATTACTGTGCGCGGCATTGGTTGGACAGATTGTTTCTCGGTTTTTTGTACAACATTATCTAAATCGTGTCAAAGAAAGCACTGTGCTTATGGCAAGTGAGTCTCAGTCAGGAGATCAGGGGATTGATTCTGGGTGATACCGGATGTTAAATGGTTGAGATCTTTTAAAAGTATTAAATCAGCAGCTTTTTTGAATGATTTTGCGTCACGAAGCATTATTGGGAGTTTTTTAAGCTCGAGCAAAATTTTTTGTTAAAAAAATCACAAGAAACAACATTTCAACGACGGAATAGTTTTTTTTGGCTATTGCAGTATATTTTTTAACCATACCGAAAAATTTTAAATTTGCATAGACCCAAAATGCTGACACTCGTTTTTTTACTTACAAGAAATGGCATATGAGCGTCTGAGTTTTGGTTTCGGGATCATTATCTGGAGCATAGTGAACGGATTTGATTTTACACGTTATCAAAGCGGAATAACGACTTTAGCAGGTTCGAATCCGGCCAGGATCTGTTTTTTTAAGAAAGTTCTACGCTAGTCAAAAAATCTTGACGGACTTCTGTTTTTCTGCTTTTGTCGACTGATTTACCACAGCATGGATTTTACCTAACATTTTGGCTTACCTCACTCAAATTAGAAATTTTTTCAATATGTTACGGTTTGTGCAATTAGTTGAGTTCCAAGAAATTGTCGAGTTTTTTGTGTTTTATTTCATTTTTATTAAGTTTTGGAAGGTGGCTTTTTGAATTTTTTGAATTTTGTTTTCTTCTTTTAATAAAGGACTTTTATGAATTTTAAGGGTTGGAGAATGACTAGATCGTTCTTATTTTGCAAAATTTTGAATTTGTTGGAAAATGTGATGCTGTTTCACAATAAATTTTTACGAGGTAATTTTGGCATATATTTTTTGCATAGCAAGTGCTGCAAATCTCTGCTTCGCCTATGTGTCAAACAATTTCTTGGGCAGAGAAATTGAAGGCCGATTGTGTTCAGATAAAGGGTGCCAAAGTAAAAGAGTCTTGATATAAATGCTGAGTGCCAAAATTTGTGTTCAAAACAACGTTTTACGAGGAAAAAACAAAAGATACAGCTGTGAACATTAAGTCGCTGGCAAGAGAAATCAAGAAAACTATTGTAATTGCTTCTGGTATCAATGAAAGCAAACAAAATACTTCCTTAATTAGTTGATCTACATTTTTGTCAGTATACAACCATTACAGCAATTAACATTTTAAAACCCTTGCGATCAGCCAGGGTAGTGCAATCGGATGCTAGACTTTTCCCTCTGTAATTAACTTCGTTCACTGAATGGTCAAAATTAAAAATGGTAAATTTAGATAAAGTTCATAATTAGTTTTGTGCGTATGCGGCCTACTTTGTCTGGAAGTCACGAATACCCCTGGGACGGCAAATATCCTGGGTTGGAGTCTGACAGGACTAGTTTTTTTTTTTTTCAAACGGAAAAATTCCGCTCATAAAAAATGTGTCTGCTTATTATGTGTCTGCTTGTTTAGTCGACTTAAGTGTCACATCATAGAAATGCACACGATTTATATTGTAGTTGCTTTAAGTGTTTTGATTTACTTCTGCTGTTGATAGTTTACTAAATTTGACTTCGTCTATATTCTTTTCCCCTCTGGATCGCACAATGAAAAGAAATTATAGTTCAAAGTTTTTCATAACAACAAGTTTGTTTCGGTTCTACTGGTTTTACCCAAGGTTTGTTGGCGCAGTTGCCGCTCGATAATGGTTTTTGATTTTTCATTAATTGCCGTTGATTGTGTTACTAGATGTATTTTCCGCATATAGAATATCACTCCAGACAAAATCTTGAAGTTTTAGTTTTGCTTTTTTTGTTAAAATCTTTATGGACTTAGTGGTTATTTTTTGTTCTTCTCTGTCTGCTAGTTTGCGATGCTATTTATATGTGGTATCGCAAGTGATGCGAAGTTCTGTTTTGCTTCTGTCTGAATTTTTTTCATATTTCCCAAAAGAATTTTTTCTATTTTGTTTTTTTTTTTCCGTCTCATTTTCTATCCGCTAGCTTGCAATGATGCGCTTGCATTGTATCGCAAGTGATCCGAAAATCCGCCTCGCCTCCTTGAAATTATCTGATTTACTTTTAGCTATCAGTCAAACCCCCAGCTAAATTCATTGGAAAATTAAAAAGAAGCTAATTTATTCTAGAACGGTTCATTTTTGCAATCTGCATTACTTTTTTATCTGCACTCTTGAACGCGCCGAAGCGTTCACAAGAAAACACCCAATGCCGCATGTTCAAATTGTTCTATTCAACGTATACATTCAACCAGTAATTAAAATGTTCAAGCAGTTGCATTTGTTAATGCACTGTGTCCCTGAATAGCGTAGTGTGTCCTGTCCTGCTCGAAATAGAAGGTACACTTTTTTGTCTTTAGAAGTTCGTTCTCTTAATTCTCGGGAAGTCGGGGGAACATTTTGGCTTACCTCACTCAAATTAGAAATTTTTTCAATATGTTACGGTTTGTGCAATTAGTTGAGTTCCAAGAAATTGTCGAGTTTTTTGTGTTTTATTTCATTTTTATTAAGTTTTGGAAGGTGGCTTTTTGAATTTTTTGAATTTTGTTTTCTTCTTTTAATAAAGGACTTTTATGAATTTTAAGGGTTGGAGAATGACTAGATCGTTCTTATTTTGCAAAATTTTGAATTTGTTGGAAAATGTGATGCTGTTTCACAATAAATTTTTACGAGGTAATTTTGGCATATATTTTTTGCATAGCAAGTGCTGCAAATCTCTGCTTCGCCTATGTGTCAAACAATTTCTTGGGCAGAGAAATTGAAGGCCGATTGTGTTCAGATAAAGGGTGCCAAAGTAAAAGAGTCTTGATATAAATGCTGAGTGCCAAAATTTGTGTTCAAAACAACGTTTTACGAGGAAAAAACAAAAGATACAGCTGTGAACATTAAGTCGCTGGCAAGAGAAATCAAGAAAACTATTGTAATTGCTTCTGGTATCAATGAAAGCAAACAAAATACTTCCTTAATTAGTTGATCTACATTTTTGTCAGTATACAACCATTACAGCAATTAACATTTTAATACCCTTGCGATCAGCCAGGGTAGTGCAATCGGATGCTAGACTTTTCCCTCTGTAATTAACTTCGTTCACTGAATGGTCAAAATTAAAAATGGTAAATTTAGATAAAGTTCATAATTAGTTTTGTGCGTATGCGGCCTACTTTGTCTGGAAGTCACGAATACCCCTGGGACGGCAAATATCCTGGGTTGGAGTCTGACAGGACTAGTTTTTTTTTTTTTTTCAAACGGAAAAATTCCGCTCATAAAAAATGTGTCTGCTTATTATGTGTCTGCTTGTTTAGTCGACTTAAGTGTCACATCATAGAAATGCACACGATTTATATTGTAGTTGCTTTAAGTGTTTTGATTTACTTCTGCTGTTGATAGTTTACTAAATTTGACTTCGTCTATATTCTTTTCCCCTCTGGATCGCACAATGAAAAGAAATTATAGTTCAAAGTTTTTCATAACAACAAGTTTGTTTCGGTTCTACTGGTTTTACCCAAGGTTTGTTGGCGCAGTTGCCGCTCGATAATGGTTTTTGATTTTTCATTAATTGCCGTTGATTGTGTTACTAGATGTATTTTCCGCATATAGAATATCACTCCAGACAAAATCTTGAAGTTTTAGTTTTGCTTTTTTTGTTAAAATCTTTATGGACTTAGTGGTTATTTTTTGTTCTTCTCTGTCTGCTAGTTTGCGATGCTATTTATATGTGGTATCGCAAGTGATGCGAAGTTCTGTTTTGCTTCTGTCTGAATTTTTTTCATATTTCCCAAAAGAATTTTTTCTATTTTGTTTTTTTTTTCCGTCTCATTTTCTATCCGCTAGCTTGCAATGATGCGCTTGCATTGTATCGCAAGTGATCCGAAAATCCGCCTCGCCTCCTTGAAATTATCTGATTTACTTTTAGCTATCAGTCAAACCCCCAGCTAAATTCATTGGAAAATTAAAAAGAAGCTAATTTATTCTAGAACGGTTCATTTTTGCAATCTGCATTACTTTGTTATCTGCACTCTTGAACGCGCCGAAGCGTTCACAAGAAAACACCCAATGCCGCATGTTCAAATTGTTCTATTCAACGTATACATTCAACCAGTAATTAAAATGTTCAAGCAGTTGCATTTGTTAATGCACTGTGTCCCTGAATAGCGTAGTGTGTCCTGTCCTGCTCGAAATAGAAGGTACACTTTTTTGTCTTTAGAAGTTCGTTCTCTTAATTCTCGGGAAGTCGGGGGTTTAGTTAGTCGAAGAGTTGCGAGCTTCGTTTGATTGCTTGGAACTTCTGTTAAAAATCCATTTTGCGTTCTATACTGTATCCTGTTTGAGATAAAAGGTATACTTTTTCTGTCTTAAGAAGTTTTTTTTTTTTTTTACAAATTCCCGGCAAGTCGGGGTTTGGTTAGACGAAGAGTTGAGAGCTTCGTTTGAGTGCTTAAGAAATTTCGTTCATAATCCATTGTTTTTTATACCATCCTGCTCGAGATAGAAGGTATATTTTTTGTCTTAGAAGTTTTTTCTTTTAATTCTCGGTAGGTCGGGGGTTGGTTAGACGAAAAGTTGAGAGCTTCGTTTGATTGTTTAGAAGTTTCGTTCATTATCCATTATGTATTTTAAACTATATCCTGCTCGAGATAAAAAAGGTATACCTTTTCGTCTTTAGAAGTTTTTTTTTAAAAAAGGTCCCGGAAGTCGGGGGTTTAGTTAGTCGAAGAGTTGCGAGCTTCGTTTGATTGCTTGGAACTTTTGTTAAAAATCCATTTTGCGTTTTATACTGTATCCTGTTTGAGATAAAAGGTATACTTTTTCTGTCTTAAGAAGTTTTTTTTTACAAATTCCCGGCAAGTCGGGGTTTGGTTAGACGAAGAGCTGAGAGCTTCGTTTGAGTGCTTAAGAAATTTCGTTCATAATCCATTGTTTTTGATACCATCCTGCTCGAGATAGAAGGTATATTTTTTGTCTTAGAAGTTTTTTCTTTTAATTCTCGGTAGGTCGGGGGTTGGTTAGACGAAAAGTTGAGAGCTTCGTTTGATTGTTTAGAAGTTTCGTTCATTATCCATTATGTATTTTAAACTATATCCTGCTCGAGATAAAAAAGGTATACCTTTTCGTCTTTAGAAGTTTTTTTTAAAAAAAGGTCCCGGGAAGTCGGGGGTTGGTTAGACGAAAAGTTGAGAGCTTCGTTTGAGTGTTTAGAAGTTTCGTTCATTGTCCTTTATGTAATTTATACTATCCTGCTCGAGATAGAAGGTATACTTTTTTCTGTCCTTAGAAGTTCTTTTTTTAAAAAAGTCCCGGTAAGTCCTGCTTACTTGGTTAGACGAAGAGTTGATAGCTTCGTTTGGGTGCTTAGAAGTTTTGTTCATAATCCATTATTTGTTTTATACTATCCTGCTCGAAATAGAAGGTATACTTTTTTTGTCCTTAGAAGTTTTTTTCTTTTTTTTCTCGGTAAGTCGGGGCTTGGTTATACGAGTTGAGAGCTTCGTTTTAGTGACTAGAAGCTTCGATCAAAATCTATCATTCTTTCGTAATATATCTTGCTCGAGATAGGTATGTTTTTTCTAGTTTTAAAAGTTCTTTTTTTAAAGTTCTCGGTAAGTCGGGTTTAGTTAGACGAAAGTTTGAGAGCTTCAATTGAGTGCGTTGAAACTTTACTCGAAGTCCATTATAATTTTTATTGCGTGCTGCACTATCTAGCCCTATTTAAGTTTTTTCGCTACTTATTGCTCTTGCAATAGCTAGTGTCTTGTAATCCGGAACTAGACTTTTTTCCCCGTATACAACTGTTCTTACAAAGCTGTAAAAAATTGTGAAGTTGCTTTATTAGTGAACCTTAGGAAGTTGAAGGCAACTTCCCACATGGCATGGAGATAACGCGGTTTCCTTCGTACCCTTAGATCTGGAGTGAGAGTCCCCACCGGACCTTGTTTTTTTTCGTATGAAATTGAAATATTTTCTCGGCAAAAATTGAATAGTCAGACTTTCGGTTATCTGCTTATGTTTTGCCGGCTTACTTGCCAATTCGGGGAATTTTCGTGTGCTCTCGGCAATTTTAATCGTAGATGCAGGTGTTTTTTAATTTTTTTAACTTAATTTTATAGATTTTTTAAAAAATTTTTTCTTAGTTTTCTTTTTTTTTCGTTCTTGATTTAGACTCCATATTAGATAACTTTTTTTTTGTATAAGTTCGAGAGTTTTCATACTGCATCACAAAATTTCTTGATTGTTTTTGGTGTGAGTTTTTTGTGATTTGTATAAACCTGCCTGCTACAAAGTCATCCTTTTTGAATGTCAAAACTCCAAAAAAAAACTTAGAGAAATCTTTATACCCTTGCGATAGCAAGGGTATTGCACTTGGGTACTAGACGGTTTCCCGTAAATAACTTTGTCTATAGGACTCATTGAATTGGTAGTACCTTGGGTTTTTCAAACAGTTTTTTTTTTTCAAACAGTTTTTTTTTTTCAAACGGTAATAGTTCCGGTTCACAAAAATTTCGGCTTCATATTTGACTGCTTATGTTTTGTCGCATTAGTTGCCACATCTAAGAATCGTTTATTTTAGGTGTAAACGGTTATAACTGCAGTTGTTTTTTTAGCTTTTTAAAATTTCGGCTTAATCGAAGTTTGCTTTTCAAATTGGTTGTAGTTATACCAGCTCGATTTGTTAAAATTTCACTTTCGTTTTTTCGTCCTTATCGGCTTAGTGAATTTTGGCCTAATTAATATGGACTAAGTGACCTCTATTGCTTCGCTACGTCTGAAAAGTTTTTGCGAGCGTGTGTATGATCTGAGGGGAAAAGGGACTTAATAGGTACTTTTTTATAAGTTAAGAGTTTCTCTGAATTTCTTTTCGGCATGAATGGTTCTGCTCAGTGTTTTCTCGGCGTTTTTACCGCTTGATTATTATAAATTCAAGTCCAATTGACCATCCGGTGCATCTAGCATAGAGGTAAAACAACTGCTTGAGACGGTAGAGATTTGGGTTTCGAATCGGGTCGGGTCCTTTTTTGCAAACTAGAAATTTTTTTTCCCCGGATTATCTATCGTCCGTCTGTTTGTTTTTGTCGATTTAGTTCTCGTAGCTTGATGGTTCAGCTTTATTCCAAGTTGCTGTAACCACGACGCTTGAGACGACAAAGCCCCGGAGTTTTATTCCAGTTGAGACTTGTTTTTCCTGGAACTAGAAAATTTTGACTATTTTAAATTATTGCTTTCTGCTTATTTTGTCTGCTTAGTTCCGCAGAAAGGACTTATTTGAAAACTTGGCTTTTGTGTAGCATTCCCAAAGCTCTTTCTAGATTTTTTAATGATGCAGGCATCTTTGTTCTGGATGTTTTGTGCTTTTGTTACAATTTTTATTGACAAAAACGATTTTTTAAATATATTTCAACCCTAAATATATATTTTTACTCTTGCGGCATCAGTTTTTTTTTTAAATTTCCGAAATAACAATATTCTTAATTGCGGTTGAAGAGTTGAAACAATTATTTTCTTTGTTTTTTTTTGTTTTTCTTCCGCTTGGTTTGTTTATTTGGCTTTAAGGGTTTCAGCGAATAGTTACCCAATGTTTCGCTTGTTATCGCGACACCAATTTCAGATGCGCTGTGGAGTATGTGAAACATTTTAAAATTGTCCTTATTAGCGTGCAAACGTTGACTTGGAACATTTGAACGTTTTTTGTCATGGCTGAAATTGGTAGTTATCGAAATCTTGCTGGTTTCACTAGAATTTTTCCCCTAAACAGACTTTTTTCCTAAATAATTCGTACGTATCTGTAAGAAAGTGGCCTTGCTTGGTTATGATTCTTAGACATCTTTCAGATACCTTTTTGGGCCAGTAATGGTTGGAAACTGATTTTTCTGAGGAAAATTTGAACAGACCAATCGTTTAACTACTTTTTATTGTCGGCTTGCCTTCCGAGGCATAGTTTTTTCTTCAAAGCATCATTTTCTTCCGAATTAATTTTTTTCATATTAATGCTCATTATGTATCTTACTTTTACAATTTAAACTTTAATTTGCGAAAGCGCTAATTTCGATGCTGCCGAATCAAAATGATTAATGGTAGTTTTAGACCTCCTTGTAAGAAAAATATTCTTTTTTTTTGGCTCGGAAACAACTGCTAATTTGGACAATTTATATAGTTACTTCAATTCTTCCGCTCTGTAAAAAAGTTGAAGCGTAGTGAATAATTGAGTATCCAACTTTTTCATGTGATAAGGCTGAAAAAAAACAAGTTCTTTTAATAATATCATCGCTTTTGACTCAGTTCACTAAATCCGAGTCTTGGCTGACTTATTGCTAATTTGTGGAATTATAACCCTGCGTCTGATGCAGGAAAAGATTAAGATTACAGCTCAAATTGGAGTTTTTAGTTGGTATTAAATGAAATAAGCCTTTGCTAGTCAGTTCGACTTCATGGAACTATTTTTATCTTCTTTTATTTAGTCCTGAATGAGACGAAGATGAAGATGAAAACACTTGTTCAGGTAGATTTTTAGCGGTCTAAAATGCTTTTTACTCTCATTTTTTTTACTCTTAGTGGTTCAATTTTGATTTACAAGCGCAGATTAAGTTTTGACGGATCTACTTAACAATTACCCCCCTTTTTTCAAGAAAATGTTAATTGTTAAGCAGGGGATGGGTAATTGTTAATTAGGTTAAGTAAATCAAATTTTCGACCAATCGGAATGCAGCAAAATTCGAATTATAAATAGAACGCTCTCTAATTTATGGGCATCAGACATAGGTCTTCTAAACAAAATTATGGTCCATGTCTTCACTAGCAGTATCGTTTTCGGTTACCTTTCAAATGACCAAACTTTTGTGGTTCGACGACTGTGTTTGTTCAAGGTAAACTCTTCTTCGGCTTAAAATACGCAGAGTAAAGAATCATTAATGCAGCGTAGTTAATCTTTTCCCACTCCCATCCTTAGTTGAAGCAGAAGCCTGAAATTTGTCCCGTTTTCGTTTCGTACTATAGTTTTATCTTAGTGCACCTTCACTCGGCAAGATAATTCGTAAGTAATTCATTGACAATTTTCAGTGTCCAATTTTTGTGCTCTATTACTGCGGATAAGTATGATCGGGCTAGGCTAATTAAATTTCTTCATGGTGTACTGCTTGATGGTTTTTGAGAGGTTTCGAGATATTCTGATCAAGTCGAAACGCTAAAATTTTGAGTTTTCTATATATTTCCAAAGTTCCTGTGGTCTCCACTACTTTAAAGTTGTCTACCTATCACAGCAACAAAACCCATGACTGGCGAGTAATCTTTTCGAGCTTAAATTTTATTATAACGGGGAGGGGTTAGTTAATTGCGGGTAGTTAACTGGTATGTTGGATCCGATTTTAAATATTAGCGCTTGGAAAGTTAACTCATGTCCTGGGCTTAAGTAAGTAAAGAAAGAAAGTCATGCCGCTTGACTTAGCTAGTTTTTTGTTGCTGCGATAGGACGATAACTTAAAAAGTCTAAACAGACATTGTCAATCAATAGGTTTCAATGGATGAAGGAAAATAGATTTGTAGAATAAATTTTAACTTACGTACAAAAAGGACTGGGAACAAAAGACTGGCTGGTATAATGTTCTATATTGTATCATAATATCCGAAGATATCACGGTATCATTTAAAGTATGAACAAATTTATGAAAATGGCTTAAATCAATTTTTGACTCGAATCTTAATGCAAGATTAGCATTTAATTAATTTGCAGGAAAATTAGTAGACTTCGAACGAATTATTTCGAAATTGCAGTTTAAATGATTCTGTTTCAACAGCATAAAAACGACTTTTTTACGATTCCATTCGAAAAAAATCGCTTTTATCTGAATCTTAAAACGGAATCTTAAAAACTGCAACTTCGAAATAAAACCGTCTTTTACCTACCCAATTAAAAGTGTCGTGTTTTCGACAGGTATCAACAGTAAACGTCACTTAAAATCTTATAATTTCTATGCCAGTTGGCAGTTATGTTGCTTGGAAATTGTGCTATTTTGGAATTCACCATTTTAAAAAAAAGTTTTATTAACATGATTTCAGGTGTTTAATGTAGAACGTTGCACCTCCAGGTCACAAGAATCTTACAGGATCAGAAATTTCTTTATCGCCAATTGAAGCCAACCATTCAACTCATTTATCTGTCATCTCTTTAAACTGTATAGACTTTGTATTTATCTCGTTGTGTAAGAAACAGTACGTCTTCTAATCTTCACGGAGAAATGTTGTTTATTTTTTCATAGAACTATTTCGGGGCTGGGCTACTTTACTCGGTTTCTGCAGTCATAATTCCGATCAAGGTGTGAAATTGTATCATCATCATAATCACTTCTTTTCTTCTGAGTTACTGGACTCATTTTGTATTTTGTTCCTGTTCGTCTTCACAATATACCTTTTTCGTAATAAATACGAACGTTAATAAATAAGTTAAGCTTTAATTTTGTAAATTTTATCTGGAAATTGAACAGTTCTTGTCGTATTCAATCTAAATTTAACTCTTTAAAACGGATCCTCGGGCAAACAAAAAAATCTTCAAGGTTTAGAATTACGACACTGAATTCGACGTTTTCATTTCATTTATTTTGGAAATTTATCATCTTCGAATTGGGTAACTTGCTTTACCTACCAACGCCTCTGCTCTATTCATTCACAATAATTGCAGATTCCATCACACATGCCAAGCACTTGGGGAAACAGACTTGGGCTGAATAAACGAACTCGATGTACTTAAATTTGTTGTGCTATTTTGCAATTTTTGACAACAGCAGTGGAATACCTGATATTCAGTTGCTTTATTTTGCAATATCATTTGCATTTTCTTTCCAACTATTTCCAAGGTTGCTTGTAGACTAGTTAGTTTTTAAACTGATAACTTCCTTGATAAGTTATTACTTTTTCCGTTCCTGGAGAACAAAGTTAGAATCGCCTCACTATGTATCGTTACAAGACCAAAGACGAGCTAACAAGCTCAATGGATACTCTCAAACGACTTATAGTTGCAATCCAGAACAATGACGAGTCTCAAGTCGAGTCAATATTGACCAATCAGATGCCGTATGTGAACGAATTGATCGACATATCGGAAAATGGAATTTCGAGCTCATCGGCTGGGAGATCGCCGTTAATGATTGCATCTGAGCTAGGTAAATGATGTTCATAATCTAAAATAAGGTAAAATCAAATTCTTACTTAAAACGACGGTTTTGGAGCTTTAAAGTTAGCTGAGAAATTTCGTGCTTATTGCAACAAATACTTGAGTAATGATTAGGAGTGGCAGATTTTAGACGATTTTCTGAAAAGTTTTTTTTTGTCCACACTTGAACAACAAAAGCAAAAATTGATTCAACAAAGTTTTAAAAAACTGTTTTAGGCCAACTGAATATAGTCCGCATGCTTCTGGAGTACCCGGAGATAGATGTGAATGTGGAGGACTCAGACTGCTGGACGGCTCTGATTTATGCCCTGAAAGAGAAACACGAACAAGTGGCCAGACTTCTGATTGAGAATGACGCTGCATTGCGAAAGGTAAAAGAATATGACCTGTTGAATTTGAATATGGTTCAAAAAATGAAGTTGAATTATGTTTCCTTACGAAATATTGAAAAGAAGATAGGTTTTTAATTTCTTTTCGCGCAAACATTGCCGTCTTTTTAGGCTTTTAATGCATGTATTGCGGCGGGTTTCCGGGCTGATTTTTTTGATCTGGGAATTTTGGGTGAATGAAAACACTGAATCTTAAACATAATTACTCATAGTTTGGGTTAGTTAAATTCCTATGTCAAATGCGCTGCTATACAAGCTTTGTTCTAGTGGTTTTGCTTCTTGAGCTTTACTGAAGACAGCAGTTTTCTATCGTGAACTGGAAATACTCTAAATTGCTTCATAGACAACCCTATTTTTCCTTGACCTGCCTTGAAACTACGAGGTTTTTTATCTAAGTGCCCAAAATAGTTAATCGGAATATATCATTTTAGCTTACATGACAATTATTTTTCTCGCCCTTTCGGCGATCTGATTTTTCGGTTTGATGATTCTTCATCTTGGTTACAACAGTCAGCAGGCCATAATTAGTTGATAATCAGTTATTAAGTGATGATGAATGAACTGAAGACATTTATTTTGTTCGTGGGGTTTTTTGGTGTTTTGTTTGCTTTAAGTTCAGATCGATTTAATTTGCTAAAACTGAGCAAAATTAAGCTCTGCAATAACAAAATAAAATGGTGCAAAAAACGTGAATTGTTTTTAAAAATTTTTCAAGAAGTGGATTCAAGTTTTTAGATTTCCCAGCGGAATTAAAAATTAAATTTTTTTTTGACCCAGTTTTCGTTCCGACGTTTTAAAAATTGGGAGGAATTTGTATTCGTGTTTTCGTTTTTTTTTCGACGCAAAATCAGCTACCATAAATAATCAGCGGAGAGAGTTGAGTGACATATCATATTAAAACCTTTGCAGTCGCGATTCGAACGACATTTTTTTTACCCCAATGTTGAAAAACGTTAGTTTTTTGAGAATTTAAGAGCTTTTTTGGAATCCTGAATTTCCTAAATTCAAAAAACTGCATTAGTTTTTTTCGATTTTTGTTGTTCTAATAATTTTTCTACAATAAATGTTTTTTTTTCAATCTAATTTTACTATAACTGTCGAATATGCTTTATCTCTAATTTTTCGCTCAGATCCTTTTATCACACCACGCCGAAAAAAAACGACACTAATTTTTAAAAAATGTTTGTATTTTTTATGCATATGGTCGGAAACTTTCTGTGCATAGTAATCTCTTTTTGTTTTCCATGCAAAATCAGGTGTGATAAATAATCATCAGACTCGGTTGAGTGATATATCATATTAAAGCCAATTTTGTTTTCCACGCAAAATCAGGCACGACAAATAATCATCAGACTCGGTTGAGTGATATATCATATTAAAGCCATTTCAGTCGTGATGCAAACGGCATTATTAAGTTTCCTACACATGTTTCCAGTGTCGAGAAAAACAGGTTGAAATTTTGATTGTTCGTCTATTTTCGAGCGAGAAAAGCGATCGAATAACGTTCGTTAAAAATGAACACTAGCATTTTGGGCTTTAAAAAATTTTGAATGTACTTAAACGAAAACTGCATGTTGTTTTAAAAGTTTCGCTTAGCGCTTCTCTGGCAAAAAACTTTCAACATTTATTTAAAATTAAAGGGGGAAAAATTGACAAAAAATTAAAATGTGTTTTTGAATTTTTTTTTCATTTTTGTGTTAATTTATTTTTTGAAGACAATGGAATCTTTTACGCCTAGTTCACTAAATTTCGACGCGTTCGTATAGTTCTATCATCACACGATTATAAAAAAGGGACAAACATGAAAAAAAATAATTTCTGAGAATGTGGTCCGAACATTCTGTGCTGCTTGAGCAGCAACCGGCTATCCTTGTCTCCAATTGGGTTAGTTTTATGAAAAAGACCAATTATAAAAACTTCTTGAACTTCAAAAAGCTTTAACGTTTAGTAGATCTCGAGTTCATTGACACGTTGCTAAGTTTCAGTTGCTGGTCTTGAAAATGAAGATATGCTACGATTTTTAAAAGTGGTGTCTTTTGTCGAACAGTATACTTGAGTATACTTTATGATTTTTCATTGAGGTATTGCCTGATAATTCATCGTTCATTTGTTATATATTGTCTCAACTGATTATGTATGGGGATATTAATTTGAACAAAAGAGTTCGCTTTTTTAAAATCTGATCGATTATTATTTTCTCAGCGAAGCTTGTCGATTATTTTTGATTTGTTTAATTAGTCTCGACATTCAGTTCGCAGCTATTTGAAAGGCTGGGAAATGATTCTTCCGCTTGTGTGCATTTTGAATTTATTAAGCTGCCTGTATTTGTTATGACATTACTGGCAGACCATTTGGTCTGTTTATTTTATGCTTAGGCTGCTTTATCTCAAATTTGGTGTTTGGAAGTCTGGTATTCGCCTTTTCAAAAAAAATTTTTTCGGCTAGGTCTGCTTTTGGCTTGTTATTTTTGCTTGGTCAGGAAATTTTTCACTGTCGACTTGTATTGGCTAGGCTAGGCGGAATTCTGTTGTACCGGGTCGAGTGTTGAAGACTAGAGATTTAAAAAATCGTTCGTTTTTTCAGCCCGATCGCAACAATTGGACGCCGCTAACATGGGCTTGTTTCTTGGACATCCCAAACTTAATTCCTCTTTTGGTTGAAAAGGGAGCAATTATTGAACACAAAGACAGTTACGGAGTCTCGTGTCTGTCGTGGGCAGCAGGACGAGGCAACGCCGAAGTTATCTCTTTACTTTTGGAACGAATGAATATCGAAACTATTAATTCGCCCGATAAGTACGGAACAACTGCGCTTTTATGGGCATGCAGAAAAGGTCACTTTGACTGCGCAAGTTTGCTGGTGAGTTGCGGATCCGATGTGAATATGTCTGGAATGAACGGTTGGACGCCTCTTATTGCAAGTGTATGTGTAAATAACCAGCGATTGGTCGATCTGATTTTATCGTGTCCAACACAAATCGTTCAAATTGATTGTGTGGACAAATCAGGAATGTCGGCTTTAATGCACGCTGCCAAAAAGGGCTCTGTTGAAATCACAGAACTTCTAATTGAAGCGAAAGCATTCGTGAACAAAGTCGACCAGAAAGGCGATTCGGCTTTAATTCACGCAGTAAAAAACGACCATAAAGATGTAGTTAATGTTTTGGTCAGTCAAGGTGCGGATGTTGATCTAATTGGAAGCGAAGGCAAAGTTAGTCTTATGATTGCCATCGAGAAAAACGAAACTGAAATTGCGAGTATTTTAATCAAAGAAGGAGACGCGAAGGTCAATGTCCGAAATACAGCGGGTGAAACGTGTTTGATACGCGCGACGAAGAAATCGAACTTCAAAATAGTGGAGATGTTATTAGAACGAGGAGCTAATGTTTTCGAGACTGATTTAGAAGGAAATACAGCTGTGCACATAGCTGTAAAGGCCAAAATGGGTGCCATTACTCAACTGTTGCTGAGCAACCCGAAACACGGAAGGATTCTCTACATGCCCAATAAATCGGGAGAAACACCCTATAATTTAGACACTTCTCAAAATGAGTCACACGTTTTGAACCAAGTGTTCGGAGCCCGAAGATTTCTACCAGCTGAAGAAAATGAAACGAGTCATCAGCTTTTGGGATACCACTTATACTCAGCGTCCCTGGCTGACTTTTTCAGCGAGCCATCTCTACCCCTCCCAATTACGCTGGGTTTATTTGCCCGATGGGGCTCAGGGAAATCTCACTTTTTGCCCAGACTTGAAAACGACATGAAGTCTTTCTGTCAACCTCTGCCTGTTTCGCATCAAAGTGAAAAACGCTGGGTGCTTTACTTGATTCTACTCATTTTTGCAGCTTTTATCGTCCTTTTTGGTTATTTTGCACCTCACGGACTAGCAGTTAAAATAAGCATGATGTGTTTTGGCAGTTTTCTGTTCTTATTACCAGTAGTTGTTATTGAGTTAATTCGCTGTTGTTCTAGAAGATTCTCAGGCGCTCATTCTGCTATTGACAAAATCGACAATTTCTTAGCTTATGTCCATCTTTTGTTATGTATCACATTTCTTCGGCCTCCCAGCAACAGAGGCAGAAAAATCCAAGATGGAACCGAAGCGCTTCCGATGAGATTTCTGTTTTCAGACAGGTCAAGAGTCGCGGATATCAGCGAAGAAACTGGAGTTGCAAAACTTGTTGCTTCTCTATGCGCAGAGGCTGAACTTGAATACGGTTTCTTAGCATTCAGGCTTTTGCAAGCATCGCTTAAAAGCAATCACGGACGTCAATCAAAGTTTAAACTGACATTTTGTATTCCCACATATGTGCATCTGATACTGTTTGTACTTCTGATTCTGACGGTGGGCTTTCTCTTGATGTTAGGCCCGAACGAGTTCATGATTCCATGCATTGCGTTGGCCTCGGTAGCCTTGTTTATTTTGCTAATTCACTTACCAACTATAGTTCGTGTGTGTCAATCTTTTCACAGGTCGCAATACAAGAGATCTCTGCGTTTGGCTGAAAAATTCAACAGCATGCCTGAAGGAAAGTTTATTCAGCAATTGAAACAAAATGTGGAATCATTGGCGAATATTGTGATAGGAATAGACCAGTTTGCAATGCGATCTACAAGAATGGTAGTTTTTCTCGACGGGTTAGATCGTTGCGAGCAGGATAAATTGATGAAAATCATCGAAATGGTCACTATTCTATTTTGCTACCCAGGAATGCCGTTCATTGTTGTATACTGTCTCGACCCAGTTTCGATTATCAAGTCTATAGAACAGAGAATAAACACGCAAATTATAAACCAAAATATTAAGAGTTACGAGTATATGCGAACTATAGTACATCTGCCGTTTTACTTTCCAGATAAATCTAGAGATAACTATTTCTTAGAAGCGATGAAAGGTCTAGTAAGTTCGTCTTTCATGCATTCGCAAGACATGTTAGCGGTCGAAAGGTCACCTGCTAGGGCTATTTCGTCACGTACAGTTAACAGTAACAGTCAGAGATTGTTCATACAGCGAGACTACAGTCATGTTTCGGGACATAACAATGCTTTGTATCATTCATGTGTTCTCTCAACTTGGAATCTGAGCAAAATGTTAACATCAGATCGTGATTGTCTTCATGATTTGAATCCAAAAGAAATGCAACGTCTCATAAATATAATATCGGTAACTGGGCGTCTTCTAAGAGCGTACAAAATAAGTTTTGATTGGAAAAAATTAGCTTTTTGGGTACACTTAACTGAGAAATGGAGCTACCATACATCTTGGATATTGTTCTATTTACTGAAGAATTCTTGGAAGTTTCGTCTGACTACGACCATAAGAGATGTGTTTGAAGATTTAAAGTTGACGCTGCCTCCTGTGAAAAGCGACAAGATGTTTGAAAATGATTCAGAGCGCCGGTTCCTGGAACTGTTTTTGACAAACCACCACCCGCAAATAACCTTGTCCGATGTTAGAAATTTCTACCCACATACCGTAAACCTGGACCCTTCTTTAAAGACTTACATTGACGCTTTGCCTTCGGAATCAACTACAGATCTGAGAGCTGAGGCTTGTCAGACAGAGAATTTGGTTACTTCTGGAGATTCTGGAGTTCCATCAACATCGTCCGCTCTCGTAACGACATCAAACGCGGTCAGAGAATCGAATTGGCACTCATCTGGAGGTTATTTGAGTACAATTAATTCTGTTAATCTGAACGCAGGAGGAACAGTGGGCGAGGAACACAATCGGGATATCCGGGTGACAAGATCTCCACGAATACCATCATCGACCCAACTGCAGAACTCAGGTCGGAACCGACATTTAACCGATTACTCTTTAGACGATGTGTGCAATGTTTTAAGTTCAGAAATTGAAGGAATCGATTCAGCGAGGTTGTATGACTACAGAACGGTGCTTCGAAGTCAGAATATCAATGGTAAAGTTTTGGCGGTATGTGACATGGAAGAACTTAAATGTTACCTTCATATGACCTTCGGCGATTGGAATTTGTTCAAGCAATGGGTATACACAAAACGCATGTTGGATTCGGAAGAAGAATCGGAGACCACAGCCACTTCTCGGTCACTTAATGGCGATGAAAACCATGTTTTAAATTTACCTGATGGTCTTCCGACTTCGACGACTAACGACGATTCATTTGATGGACGGGATTATAGAACTGCAGTTTCGCCTAGTGAAGATTTACAAAGCGAGCAAACCGGCATTGCGAATCAGGAAACAGAACATGTGTCATTTATAACGGCGACTGGTGCAGATGCTAGACGAGAAATTGTGGAGAGCCGAAGTAGCAGAACTAGTAACTCGACCCACATCGGAAGTTTCTTTGCCAACGCTGCTTCTCCGAATTACACTGCCTATTCTGAGAGTACATTTTCACCCCAGGAAGCTCAGGAATTGAGGTCTCACAATCCGAACCAACTCATCCTTAGACAGCCGACATCGGAGGTCGTGACTTCGGTGGTCCATTCCCAAATAAGCCCGATTCCCCTTTCAAGTCCAGTGGTAACCCCAAGTAGGTTCACAATAACAGCTGCCAATATAGAAATAGAGCCAGTCAAAGACCCACCTGTACTGAAACTCTCAAGTAAATGGGAAAAGGAAAAGGAAGCCAGTATTTCAGATATATTCCAGCAAGACTTCTTAAATAAACAGACCAAAACAAATCAAGAACCGACTAGAAAATCAATGCTTTCTTCGAAAAACTGTCGACCTGTTTCAGAAATTGAAAGTAGGAGACATTCTAATGTTTTAATCACAAGAAGAAGTCAAAGCACTGGACGAAGATGTTCTTTAATACATAGCGGGTACGAGTTTGGCAATTTGCAGCAAAATGGGAAAAGATCGAATGCAAAGTCAACAACTTACTTAAGAATGTCACCATCATTAGATGCGGATCTATCATTACATGCATTGGAGACCAGTTTTAAATCTAATGATTCTGTAATTGAGAAAGTCAAAAGAAGTATCAGCATTAATAGTATTCTGAGCACTAATTCTTCAAATCCGTCATCGTCGCCTAGAAAACGGAGATCGATGAGGACCAGGTTTGAATCTGATAAACTCCCGTTTTGTGTTCAGGAAACAGAACAATTTCAGTCTAAAGCGGAAGCTATGTCTTCCAAGAGGGGCGATAAAGAACAAAACAGAAAATCGTGCATGCCTAATATCTTGTCAGGTGCAAATCACAACACGGATTCTTCTTATGTTTGAAGATGAAGTGTCTATGTGTTACATGTTGTCTGCCAAGTGCTAGAAATTACTCCATTATAGATTAGTGAAATTAGATGTTCGTTTTCTCAGAAGAAAATAAGAGTGAAAATCGTATGGTAATTGGAGTATTAAAATGTACGATGACGCAGGTATAATTACTCAAAATATCTGAGAAAGCAAAAGATCTGAGGAATTCGAATTTTCAATTGCTTAATTTTGAACTTATTGTACAGGTTTCATTTAATGTGTGTCTTATAGATTGTATCACACCAATTCAAAATGAGTTATCTTTTTCAGTATCTCTATTTATCAGGCAATTTTTTGCGCACAATTTTTTGTTTTACTGTAATACCCAAAGAGTCGCCGATCATTTGCCTACCTTTTTTTTTTAAAACTTTTTGAGACTCCACATGAATGATATTGATGTCTATCGCTTCTGTCACCTGAAATCAAAAACTTCTGTCACCTGTGATCATTTTTCACTAGCTGTAGCAGCTTAAAAGTTGTGAATTTGCGATAAATAAAAATTGAATTGAGCAAGCGATTGGTCTTATAATTAAGTTACGGAATGAGGAAATATGAACTTAAAATAGCGCAGGGAAGATTTAAAAATTTTCACAAAATATTTAAGTTTTTGTCATTTGTTCAGTTTTTATTTGGTTAGACGTTGCAAGTGTGTTTTGCTTTTTACGCTAGCCAGCTTTAGTGTGCGCAACGTAATATTGTGACTATTTTTTTCCAACCTAAGACACAAATATTGGCGCCACTCTTGGTGGCATCTTTACGGCATTTTGATAGCATGTGCTTTGACATTTTCTCTCTCAACCCTATAGTGGGTTGCTATCAGGGTACACTTTAAGTCTACAAATCTAGCGCCAAGTATAACGGCTCAAATCTTGTTGGTCTTCGAGATATGGCGTTTTATATGATTTTTTTCAACTTTTTTTTCAAAAAACTTAGATATAAAAAAACTTACCGAACTAGGAATTCTCAACCCTATAGTGGGGTGCTGTCAAGGTACTTTCATGGATTGAAAATCCGATGCCCAAGTATGACTGCTCAAATCCTGTCGCTTTTCGAGATATATCGTTTTCTATGATTTTTTCAATTTTTTTTTTTCAAAAAATTTAGGTATAAAAAACCAACCAGATGGTGGGAAGCTGTCAATGTACACTCAAGTTTTGCAATTGTTCCCTCCAAATATGACTGCCCATATCCTTTTAGTTCAGGTATGTGGCGATTTTGATGATTTTTTTTTTTTTTCATTTTTTTTCTTCAAAAAACTTAGGTATAAAAACAAGCTAACCGAACTTGAATTTCTCATTCTTAAGCGGGTTTCTGTCAGTTAAAGACCAGCGTTGGAAATCTGTCCTTTGAATTTGATTGCTCAAATTATTTTCGTTTCTGAGATGGGGCGGTTTTAATGATTTTTAACTTTTTTCAAGAACTTTAAATTAAACAAAAACGAACCGATCTTGAAATTTGCAGCCCTAATGATGGGGTTCTGTCAGGGTACATTCAGGGGCTACTGTCAGGGTTTAAATCGGGACTCTCACTTTTACTGCTTAGTTCTCTTTTGTTTCCGAGATATGCTGTTTCTCATGATTTTCTTAAAATACTTTTTCAAAAGAACTTAGATGTAAAAACAACTAAAAGAAATTGAAATTTTAACATTATGGTGGGATGCTGTCAGAGAGCAGTATAGGGTAGCAAATCTGCCCTCTAATTTTATCTGCTCAAATATTTTCGGTTTTCGAGATATGGCGTTTTTTTAAATAGAAACCCCGGATAAATGAGCCCAGATTATCTTCACGGTTGCATTAAATAATGCTGTTTTAGTACGTGTTTTAGGAAGGTTTTTTTTCTACCTTTAACGATCTATTTAAAGCACCGTAGGTGCGATTCATGCGCTAATTTATACATTATGTGGCTTTATGCTTTCCAATTTATTACATGCAAAAATTCGGGTGTGAATGCCTTCTGTTTGTTACATTTCAAACAATTTCAATTGTGTCTATTCGTTTTTGGTGTCACTGTTGAGGTAAGAGTACCAATACGCCTTAACTTAGTTTTCTACATTTTTTAAAAGCGTATACCAAAAAAAATTATAAACGATTTCGATGTTTACTTGAAACTATCTAGATTTGTTTTTCTCACAAATGCTAAAATTTTTCAAGCTACGTGGGAGCTTGAGAGTGAATATTTTTACGGGAACATGTGAAAAAACATGTACTGACTACATTTCAATGCTTCAGTTCGTATTCCACTTCAACTATAAAATGACATTCCAATAGCAAAAACGCGTTTCTTACAATGCATGAAGGTATAAAAGCGCGTAACGCATAGTATATTTAAAAAATCATATTGCCAAATTTTTCCGTACTGTCATTCAGATTTTTATCAATAGACGATTTTTTTAATGTTCCATTTAGCCCCCAGGAGGCTTGAAAATCTTAAGCAATCGCGAGAAGGCTTCCGCTAGTATTTTTTTGCCGAAAATTGTTAAAAACTTTTTGCAATGAATTGAGGACCAGCAGACGCGTTCTCGAGAAACATAATCACGCAAATTCTAATTTCCACGACAACCTCTCGCTGAAAGGATAGGCGAACCTAGGAAATTGTAAGGTTTAATTTAAATACAAATGGTGGATCTAACCAAAACTCTAGTTGGCTGCTTTTCCTTTTTTTCCCACCTGCAATTTCTGATAAGTAATTGTTTTGGTTTTCTTTCGCACTTTCCTCATACACTACAAGTTTTCAATTTCTTAGTTTCCTTACGTGTTATTGTGACTTAATGAGTCATATTACGATGTAAAGATTGAAGAATGAATGTGTTCAAATTAGTTAAGTTGCTCACAATGCACTATTTTATTAGCTTATGAGATCGTAAAAACAGTTTTTCATAACTGAAATTCAAATGGGTGAGGAGTTTGTAATGGGTCAACAGCACTTCTAATTTTTACGATATTAGCCTCTCGAATAAAAGGTTGAAGAGCCTAAAAAGAATGCAATTTTTTATGTAAGATTTTAAAATTTAAATGCTGTTGGATGTAACCAAAATGTTGGTTGTCCGTTTTTCGGTTTCTCCCACCTGCAATTTCTGACAAGGAATTGTTTTGGGCTCTTTCGCATTTTCCTCATACAATACAAGTTTTCAATTTCTTAGCTGCCTTGCGTGTTATTGTGGCTGAATGCGTGATGTGACAGTGCAAGGTGGGCAGAATCTGCAAACTTTTACACGTAATTGTTTCAAGTTCTTTTGCACTTTCCCCCCTACGTTACAACTTTTGAATTTCTTAGTTTTCTTACGTGATACTGTGGCTTAATGCGAGATCTTACGTTGCAAGGTATGAAGAACGAGTTTGTGCCCAATATATAAGTTATTTAAGTTATTTGACAAATTTCATGACATAACGTTAAAGGAGTTTATCAAAACTGAAGTTTAAATGTGAGGTGGGAGTTTTCGAGCTTTTTTGTTACCATTGTTCGTTTGGGCTCTTTTGCAGTTCCCCCTTTCAAATTCAATTTTGAAAAGTTTTGTCTAAGTTGCCATAATGGTGTGAAATTTGGCATGTTGAACAAAATGACAATCGTGAAGAGATTTGGTCTTCATATTTACACTAGCGCCAGTTTAGTGAATTATTAAGAACCTTTTTTTTTCTGACCTAAGTCTAGCAAATATTGCTGCCACTTTTGGGGCATCTTTAAAGTTTTTTTCATAGCATGTGCTTAGACATTCGAATGGTAATAAGTTAACACAGTTGATGCAATTTTAATTCATCAAATGAACCAAAAAAGCGATTTGTTTCAAAACCTAACAATCATAAAAACTCGATTTTAGAAATTTTTCAACTCAGTTTATCTCGCGATTGTTTGCAATTCATAATTTATACATAATGTGGCTGTATGCTTTTCGATTTGTTACACGCAAAGTTAGTGGGGATGGATGCCTTCAGTTTTTTAGATTCCAAAATATTACTAGCAAAATTGAGTCTATTTGAATTTGGTGCCATTTTTGCTGAATGGCCTTGGCAATTTATTAGCATATTTGTGACTAGTGTTTGTCGCTGGCTAAGCTTGCGTGGCTGAGTGGTTAGAGCGTGAGACTGAAAATCTCTTGATTGCAGTAGGTCGCAGATCGAATTCTAGACCTAGCCGAATTTTTGATAATTCGAGGCTTCTTTTTTTTTTTTTCTTATTGCACTTTCTAGAGCTGCTTTTTGCCGTGTTATCGCTAATGTTTATGACGTAAAGCTTTGCCTCTGTGTTCACATCGTAACATACGCATTCAGCCGTAATAACACGGAAAACAAACAGAAATCGATATTCTGTAAGGTGGGGTTGAAAGTGGAAAAGAGCCTTCGATTGGTACAACAGTTAGTATGCGGACTGATTAGGTCATGACAAACATGTTTTGGCTTCATACTTCAACTAATCAAACCTTTCGTTACACTATATGATTAATGCATTGGAAAGGAAAGCGATCTTCAAGTTTAAAAAAAAGAGCCAAACACCATCGCCAATTAACAGGTGACGAAACACCTATCCTTATATACACAAAGTCTCAAAAAAATTCAGAGGCTTATTGGCAATTATCAAGTTTGCCTCCCATTCTTAAAAAGGCGACTAGTGTATGAAAAAAGGTGTTTAAGTTTGTTTTGAACGACGTGTTTTAGTATAATTTATAACTAAGTAGCCTTTAGGATGCCCGATTTCAACATAAATTAATGGGAGGCCATAAAAAATGACTTGTGAAAAATAAATGATTATAAACCGTACGTCACTTTGATCCTCGACTTTTTTGGGATCAAAGGAATGAAGAAACGAGTATGAAATCAGTTTTTCCGAAGGGTTCAACGTTAAGGTCACATAGCGTCTAAATAAGCACGTGGATTTTTAATCAATATTCCACAACCAAGTTTGACTTTTCACGAAGTAACTCAATCGGAACAAAGAAAAATCTAAAATATATCTCAGACAAACTTACAATCTAATACTTTCACCATACTGACTCAGCAACTAAAAAGGGCTTTTTTGCAGTTTCCTATTTCCTTTATATTTACAAAATGCAGTTACTTAAACGTTTTTCATATGGCAATTTGCATGAAAGAAGTTTAAAAATAATAACTTTCTCATGGTGACACGTTGTTTCGGAAACAATCAAAAGGAGGGGGACAGTAAATTAGCCCTTAAAAGGATAAATGTAAGAATGACATGAAGAAAATTCCTACGCGTAGAAGTTGAACAATATATTGTAACCTAAAAGCAAAACTCTTTTATTACTGTTGAGAAATTTATTACTCGTAGTGGTTAGTACTCCTGGACACTCATTTAAATGGGTGGCAAGGAGAACGTGAAAGTCGTGTGCCGGGTTCGCCCGCTGAATGACAAAGAAAAGAAAAAGGGTGAAAAAGCGACAGTCAAATGTGTCAATCAGCAACAGATACAAATAGAAGGAAAGCCAAAAAAGTACAATTTCGATGCAGTTTGTGGACCTGAATCGACCCAGGAAGAAGTTTATGATGCGGGAGCGAAGAAAGTGGTGGACGACATTCTGAAAGGATTTAATGGGACTATATTCGCATACGGACAGACATCATCAGGAAAGACATTCACTATGGAAGGTGCGTGTAATTCGAATTTTATGGCCTAGCTCATCTTGCCGAAAAGTTTGAGGCAGACAGCTAATGGAGGCTCTTTTTCCTTCCCCTCCCACCAGCGAAATTGGCTCTTTTACAGTCCCCCCCTTTCAAATTCAATTTTGAAAAGCCTATTCAACGTTGTCACAATGCAATGAAATTTGGCGTGGTGAACAAATCGACAATTCTGAACAGATTTGTTCTTCATACTTTACAGCGTAACTTCACGCATTTAGCCGTAATAACACGTAAAACAAATATAAAACTCGTTATTTTGAAAGGGGGGAACTGGAAAAGAGCCGCGAAATTTCACTAGCCAAAATTTGTTCACATTATCGGGTTGTTATAAAAATCGGTATGTGGACTAATTAGGCTATGAAAAACATATTGGTCTTCGGCTCTTTTCCAGTTCCCCCTTTCAAAATCAATTTTGACAAGCTTAATTAACGTTGTCATAATGCAATGAAATTTGGCGTGGTGAACAAATCGACAATTGTGAACAGATTTGTTCTTCATACTTTATAGCGTTACATCACGCATTTAGCCGTAATAACACGTAAAACAAAAATAAAACTCGGTATTTTGAAAGGGAAAACTGGAAAAGAGCCTGGTCTTCATACTTAACCTTGTAAAAGCCCTCGGTACAACATAAAATTTATGCATATGTGAGGTGGGGGAAAAGGAAAAAGAGCCCTGATGGAAAACCTAATGGAAAAATCTTTTTTCTCAAAAAATTCAAAGGGGGACCGGAAAAGAGCCAACCGTTTTTTAAGGGTATTTGGAATCGCAGTTAAAAGAGTTTGCTGGCAATATTTCAAATTATAATTAAACATCGCTCATTTACAATTTTCGAGAGGCCGAGTATTTTTTTTCGTTAATTTCAGATGAGCAAAACTGATTTTTAGTCTTCCCTAAATCTTTAAAAGTATCAGATGTCGGTTGCAATAGATATCATAATGATGAGGAAACTTGCCGGCTCTTTGCGACTTCCCCCACATTTGATTTTGAAAAACTAATTTTACGTTGTCATAATGTAATGAATTTTTGCATGGTGAACAAACTGACTATTGTAAATTTATTTGTTCTGAAATGTGAGGGGGAGTGGAAAAGATCCGAATGCTTCAGTCATAACTTATAAAAATTTTATATGGTTGTTATATAAGCTCTTTTTATCTCTGCAATTGTTAAATGCATTTTCTCTTTATCACTGTAGACGAGTATCAGTTTTTTTTATCAAGAGTGTGTGTCTTATTGGATTAGCGTGCCAATCTGACAACCTAAACCTGGCTTTAGTTTTTGAGCCCCATGTTTAATTTAAAATTTTTATTCGTTAAATCACAAAATTAAGTTTCAAAAAATTATTCATACCGCAATTTGCATGCTACATCTGTTTGTTCCTGACTAATTTTACAAAACTCTGGGGGTTTGTGTGAAAACATAGATGTCGGCCTAATTATTGTTGGCTTAGGGCTCTTTTCCAGTTCCCCCTTTCAAAATACCGAGCTTTATGTTTGTTTTACGTGTTATTACGGCTTTAATGCGTGATTTTAAGCTGTAAATTATGAAAAACAAATCTGTTCAGAATTGTCGATTTGTTCACCACGCCAAATTGCATTGTATTGTGACAAGGTTAAATAGATTTTTCAAAATTGAATTTGAAAGGGGGGAAACTGGAAAAGAGCCTTTCAAATTCAATTTTGAAAAGTCTATTTAACGTTGTCACAATGCGTTTCTTGTTATTTCAACATTTTTCACAATAAGAAGTTCGAATGTTTTAGATACGATTTTAGTAGTACTATCACTTTGAAGAGATCAGCTCCGTGTTTTTATGGCAAACTAAAATTTTTCCACCTTAATGAAAAATAATTGATAGTCTATTGTTTCTGCCTATTATTTGTTGGCTCTTTTCCAGTTCCCCCCTTTCAAAATACCGAGTTTTATGTTTGTTTTACTTGTTACTTAACCTTGTAAAAGCCCTCGGTACAACATAAAATTTATGCATATGTGAGGTGGGGAAAAAGGAAAAAGAGCCCTGATGGAAAACCTAATGGAAAAATCTATTTTCTCAAAAACCAAAAGGCGGACCGGAAAAGAGCCAACCGCTTTTTAAGAGTATTTGGAATCGCAGTCAAAATAATTTGCTGGCAATGTTTCAAATTATAATTAAACATCGCTCATTTACAATTTTCGCGAGGTCGAGTATTTTTTTCGTTAATTTCAGATGAGCAAAACTGATTTTTAATCTCCCCTAAATTTTTAAAAGTATCAGATGTCGGTTGCAATAGATATCATAATGATGAGGAAACTTGCCGGCTCTTTGCGACTTCCCCCACATTTGATTTTGAAAAACTAATGTTACGTTGTCATAATGTAATGAAATTTTGCATGGTGAACAAACTGAGTGGAAAAGATCCGAATTCTTCAGTCACAACTTATAAAATTTTTATATGGTTGTTATATAAGCTCTTTTTATCTCTGCAATTGTTAAATGCATTTTCTCTTTATCACTGTACACGAGTATCAGTTTTTTTATCAAGAGTGTGTCTTATTGGATTAGCGTGCCAAACTGACAACCTAAACCTGGCTTTAGTTTTTGAACCCCATGTTTAATTTAAAATTTTTATTCGTTAAATCACAAAATTAACTTCAAAAAATTATTCATACTGCAATTTGCATGCTACATCTGTTTGTTCCCTACTAATTTTACAAAACTCTGGGGTTTTGTGTGAAAACATAGATGTCGGCCTAATTATTGTTGGCTTAGGGCTTTTTTCCAGTTCCCCCCTTTCAAAATACCTAGCTTTATGTTTGTTTTACGTGTTATCACGGCTAAATGCGTGATTTTAAGCTGTAAAGTATGAAGAACAAATCTGTTCAGAATGGTCGATTTGTTCACCACGCCAAATTGCATTGCATTGTGACAACGTTAAATAGACTTTTCAAAATTGAATTTGAAAGGCCGGAAACTGGAAAAAAGCCTTTCAAATTCAATTTTGAAAAGTCTATTTAACGTTGTCACAATGCGTTTCTTGTTATTTCAACAGTTTTCACAATAAGAAGTTCGAATGTTTTAGATACGATTTTAGTAGTACTATCGCTTTGAAGAGATCAGCTCCGGCATGTTTTTATGGCAAACTAAAATTTTTCCACCTGAATGAAAAATAATTGATAGTCTATTGTTTCTGCCTATTATTTGTTGGCTCTTTTCCAGTTCCCCCCTTTCAAAATACCGAGTTTTATGTTTGTTTTACGTGTTACTTAACCTTGTAAAAGCCCTCGGTACAACATAAAATTTATGCATATGTGAGGTGGGAGAAAAGGAAAAATAGCCCTGATGAAAAACCTAATGGAAAAATCTATTTTCTCAAAAAACCAAAAGGGGGACCGGAAAAGAGCCAACCGCTTTTTAAGAGTATTTGGAATCGCAGTTAAAAGAATTTGCTGGCAATAGTTCAAATTATAATTAAACATCGCTGATTTACAATTTTCGCGAGGTCGAGTATTTTTTTTCGTTAATTTCAGATGAGCAAAACTGATTTTTAATCCCCCCTAAATCTTTTAAAGTATCAGATGTCGGTTGCAATAGATATCATAATGATGAGGAAACTTGCCGGCTCTTTGCGACTTCCCCCACATTTGATTTTGAAAAATTAATTTTACGTTGTCATAATGTAATGAAATTTCGCATGGTGAACAAACTGACTATTGTAAATTTATTTGTTCTGAAATGTGAGGGGGAGTGGAAAAGATCCGAATTCTTCAGTCACAACTTAAAAATTTTTTATATGGTTGTTATATAAGCTCTTTTTATCTCTGCAATTGTTAAGTGCATTTTCTCTTTATCACTGTACACGAGTATCTGTTTCTTTTATCAAGAGTGTGTGTCTTATTGGATTAGCGTGCCAATCTGACAACCTAAACCTGGCTTTAGTTTTTGAGCCCCATGTTTAGTTTAAAGTTTTTATTCGTTAAATCACTAAATTCAGTTTTCAAAAAATTGTTCATGCTGCAATTTGCATGCTACATCTGTTTGTTCCTTACTAATTTTACAAAACTCTGGGGGTTTGTGTGAAAAAATAGATGTCGGCCTAATTATTGTTGGCTTAGGGCTCTTTTCCAGTTCCCCCATTTCAAAATACCGAGCTTTATGTTTGTTTTACGTGTTATCACGGCTAAATGCGTGATTTTAAGCTGTGAAGTATGAAGAACAAATCTGTTCAGAATTGTCGATTTGTTCACCACGCCAAATTGCATTGCGTTGTGACAACGTTAAATAGACTTTTCAAAATTGAATTTGAAAGGGGGGAAACTGGAAAAGAGCTTTTCAAATTCAATTTTGATAAGTCTATTTAACGTTGTCACAATGCGTTTCTTGTTATTTCAATAGTTTTCACAATAAGAAGTTCGAATGTTTTAGATACGATTTTAGTAGTACTACCACTTTGAAGAGATCAACTCCGGCATGTTTTTATGGCAAACTAAAATTTTTCCACCTGAATGAAAAATAATTGATAGTCTATTGTTTCTGCCTATTATTTGTTGGCTCTTTTCCAGTTCCCCCCTTTCAAAATACCGAGTTTTATGTTTGTTTTACGTGTTATTACGGCTAAATGCGTGATGTTACGCTGTAAAGTATGAAGAACAAATCTGTTCACAGTTGTCAATTTGTTCACCACGCCAAATTTCATTGCAATATGACAACGTTAAATAAGCTCTTCAAATTTGAATTTGAAAGGGGGGACTGGAAAAAAGCCTATTTGTTTTTTGAGCAGTTTAAAGATAAATTGAAAGTCTTTTCGATGTGCTCATGTAATGGTTGTATTTTTTTGATACAGATGCTAGACCGATTTCTTTGAAAATTTGTTATTTTTTTAGTTTTTATCTTAGGCACAGGAAGCCAATGAATGAAGTATTGTCTAGAAATTTAACACTTGTCATAATCAAATCATTGAATTTATGGTTCAATTTATTGCAACATTAAAGAAAATAATAAGATTTTCTCAGTTTTTTTTAACGGTTCCTTTTTGGTGTGAAGTTTTTCCAGTGAGTTTTTTTTTCAGTCTGCGTTGCCTCGAAAGATTTCAACATATGCTGTTTAAAGATTGTTCGTACGATAATTTGAATGTAAGAATTGATGTAAAAGTTTGTTCACTTAATCACGCTGACAAGTTTTATTGCAGTTAAGATCATGAAGAGTCATTTTAAAGAAGCTTTCATGAATCGAATTTCAGAAAAAAAAACAAATCAAAGAAATGTAGGCGGGCCATTTTTCTATATCTTAGGTGTGTTAAATAATCACTTTTTGTCCCTTCTGGAATACTCAAAAGTTTCTCATTTCTTACTATCAATTTAATTTTTGACGGAACACTTGGTTACGTTTTTGTATCGCACTTTATGCGAAGCTCGGGTTCAAGTGTAGTATTTTGCAGATATTTTATTTAGATTGAAAATTTATTTGAGTTCTTTGTACATACAAAAACATTCATTGTTTTGTGAAAAACTATTTAGGTGAAATTTTGGAGTCAAGTCTACGATTTCAAATTCAAAGAAATCATTCAGAGAGTACTCCATTTGAAAATTTTTTGAAAACAGTAATAAAACTTGGATTGCTGGAGGTTTTTATATATTTGCAGATACTATCCTAATTTACCTCTGCGAGCGTTGTGTAATAGTACGACTATTCTTTTTTTCAATCTAAATTGCAAATTTTGGTGCCACTTTTGGTGGCACTTTTACGGCTATTTGATAGCATGTGCTTTGACATTCGATTAGTAATAAGTTAACACAGTTGATGTATTTTTAATTCATCAAATGAACCCAAAAAAGCAATTTGTTTCAAACAAGTGTACAATAATAAAAACTCAATTTCCGAAATTTTCCAATTCAATATATCGCAGTTTTTTTTGTAATGCATAATTTATACATAATTTGGCTTTATTATTCCCAATTTGTGACATGCAAAGTTACTGTGGATGACTTCATTTTTTTATAGTCCAAATTATAACATGCTAAATTGTGTCTATTTGTAGTTGCTGCCACTTGTGCTGTATCCCATTCAAAATTTGTTTGCATATGAACCTCTTTTATTTGTTGGCAAATTGTCAAGGGCCCATGGCGTAGATGCGAGTACAGAGGTCTTTAAATCTCCTGGTCATAGGATCGAATCCGCCACAGCAAAATTTTTTTCTTCAAGGCTTTTTTATACCTTTTCTTTATGTCACTTTATAGAGCTGCTTTTTCTCTCTAGTGTTTGAGAAGCGCAGCTTCGCCTCTGTGTATATATTTATTTTTCAAATTGAAGTTAGGGTAAAGAGCTGTATAGCTGCAACAATCAATGGATGAGATATGTCATATAATCTATCCCAACAAGTGATCTCTTTGAACGTATTAGTGCTAATAAAGTTAATTAAAAACAAGGAAATCCGGTTACTGTGCAAGTAGCACAGAATGTTTTGACCATAGTCTTTGAAAAAACTACAAGATAAAGCTTTGTTTTTTTCTCAAATTAGTTTTTCTGTGTGGGATGTTAAAAAATTCGGATGTAAAACTATATTTCAAGCATATTTGACATTCACAGTAATACAGGCAAATAATACACAAACATTTTTTTTAGAAAATTGACTAGAGAAACAAAAACAAAAAAATCAAAAGGTTTCAATTTTTTTCCCAATTTGTTTGCAGAAAGTTTTTTTTGTTCCCAGAATGGAGCTACAAAACTCCAAACATTAGTTTTACTTGCTTAAAATTAAGTAATTAGGGCTTAAATTTTAAATTTCTCCTAATTAAGCTGTTGTAAGCCTGCTCGCTTGCTTTATTCGCTCGAATTAAGACGAAAAATCGAAAATTTCAAACCGGTTTATCTCAACTCTTGGAAATCTTTTTCAAAATTTTTAAATGTCTTGCGAATCACGACTGACAATGCTTTAATATGATATATCACTTAACCCAATCCGATGATTTATTGTTGTAGCTGGATTTGCGTGGAAAACAAAAAAAACTGAAACACTGCCGAATACAAAGTTCCTCCCCATTTTCAATGGTCGGATTAATAATGCCGAATAACTTATGAAGCAATGAAATTATCCTCAGTATAAGTTTGGAAAGGTTGTCTGTAATCATTATAAACTATTGATGATTAACTCCAATATATGCACCAAATGGTTTCGTTTTTTGGGGCTCCGGTATGAACGAAAACATTTCAAACTCAAATTACCAAAATAAAATCGGAAAACTTATTTTTTGGGGACTTCGATATTCATTTTGAAAATTCTGAATAGATTTTAGTCAATAGGATGCAATCTGTTTTTGGTTCTAAGTTTTTCGACAATGTAGTTTGAGCTCATTACGATATCACGTGAAAAAGTGTATTGGTTCATAGGTGAGCTGAAGGACAAAGAGATGAAAGGCATCATCCCTCGAATCATAGAAGACATCTACGAGCACAGTAAAGAGGAGAAGAAAGTGAGTTTGAATGTGAAGGTGGCATACTTCGAGATATACAATGAAGTGATCAGGGATCTGCTGGATAAATCCAAGACCAATCTGCCCATTCACGAAGACAAGTTCAGGTCACCATATGTTAAGGTGAGTGTTGTCAGTGGAAACGATTTGGTTGCTTCTGAATAATATGTCGTAGATTTGAATTGATGACTGCTCACTTTATTTGAAGTGCTTCGTATGGCATAAAGATTTCATCATCGAGATAAGAAATGGAAACCTCACTATCGAAAAATGAAACTTTATTTTTGAGTGAGTGATCCAAGCCAACTTGTATCCTGGTTAAAACGCGCTATAAGGTGGGTATTGGGCAGAGCAAATGTATTGCTTGAATTTTTTTCCGACCACTGAGTGTATTCGAGTGTATTTCAGTTTTTCCTTTGTAACTTCCCATTCTTTTCCTTGCAAAATCAGGTGTTAAAAATTAAAGTCAGATAAAGTCAAGTGATATATCATATTAAGCAAGACGAATCATGCTTCGATTGATATAATAAAATTTGAAAAAAGTTTCCAATTTGCGAATTTTATTAAGCTATAAAAAACTTTTTGGGTGGTTTTTGTTCCGAAGCTTGCAATAATAACTCAATTAGTATTATTTTCAAGATTGATTTTTTTCTCTCTCTCTCTCTCTCTCTGCACACACACACCCAAAAAAAAACAAATTTGAAGAAAAATAGTTTTTTTTTAAATCGCTGTGATCGGAACCTTGTGTGCTACTCGCACAGTAACCGGCAATGGTTGATTGTGTTTTAGAATCTGACGGAGGAGAACTGCAACAGTTCGAAAGAGATCAATGTGCTGATTAATAAGGGGAAAAAGAACAGACACACAGCAGGCACTAACATGAATGAGAGGAGCAGCAGATCCCACTCCGTCTTCCAAATGGTAGTCGTTCAGGGTGAGAAGGCTTCTTGAGTAAATGGTGCAAACATTTGCAGTGCTAGTTTTTTAATACCGATTAGGTCATAGCGGGTCTAGAATTACAGTGAGAAAGGTATACAATTTTGTAAAATTAATTCTAAATTCAAAAATGCCGAATGCAAACCGTTGGAATCTTTTTGTGTTCTTCAGATGACAAGGAGAACCACAAGAAGACCACTGGTCGACTGTACCTTGTGGATCTGGCAGGCAGTGAGAAAGTGAGCAAATCGGGGGCCGAAGGAGAGAGACTAACGGAGGCGAAGAACATCAACAAGTCTCTGTCCTGTCTGGGCAATGTGATCTCGGCACTGACTGAGAACAACAGAGCACACGTGCCCTACAGAGACAGTAAATTGACTAGGATTCTTCAGGTGAAATTTGTGTACTTTTTGTAGGAGGGTGGCTTTAAAAGGCAGCACTGCTGAAGGTCATACCCTATCCTGAACCGCCTCCTCTTAGAATTTAATGATTGACTTCTTGTTACCAATTTATAATAACGCGTAAGATGTCTTCGCGAAAATTGTTTGGTCAATGCATCGACAATAAGCCCCAATTGGAAATTTCGTTGAAGATAATTGTATGACGAGTATCCAGCCGACAACAAAAGGACATGCAAGAACTCATTTGTTTTTGTTTTTGAATTAAGTAGTTCTTGTTATTTAAATGATTGAATAAACATAGTTTTTTTGCAGCAAAGTCTGGGTGGAAATGCGAGGACAACTGTGATTATCTGTGTGTCGCCTGCTCAGTACAACGAGGGAGAGACAATCTCCACCCTCCAATTCGGAGTGAGAGCCAAGACCATCAAGAACGTCGTAAAGGCCAACGTCGAGGTATAAACATCTTAAGCAAATAAGAATTGTTTTACTTGTGTAATTGGAGTTTCTAATTTGTTCTAACCCTAGTGAAATATTGCTATCAAAGCTATATTTAAAGCTAAAAAGGGCTAGTTTGAGTATTGCAATATAGTATTTGCCTGATGTTTGTGGCATTATGTCAACGAAAATGTCAAAACTGCTGTATACAATCAGTGTAAAATTTTTATTTTCCTAGATTTTGCAACGACTTGATTTTGCCTTCGTGTTTATTGACTTAATTTTTGTTTTCATTCGCGAAACATGTTAAGGTTTCGGCAGCCGAGTGGAGAAATCGGTTTGTGAAAGTGAACAAACACATGGACAAGGTGAAGGAGTTGGTGCTGAAGCTGTGCAAAGAGACGAAGCAGTGGAGAGATAAGAAGGAGCCCAAGAAGAAAGAACAGGTCAGTATTTGGAGTGGTAGCATTCTCCTCTCAAACTGGAGTTGCTATTTATTAACTCTTTGCCCCGCAAAGTATCACTGAGTTTTAAATTAATTCCCAAATAGTTTTTTTTTGTTTTGAAGTGCCTGAAATAAAGGAGTATGATCAGTTTTAAAAAGTGAATAATAGACACTTAGAAGAATAAAAGCTCGTTTGAAACGCCTTTTTGATAAATTATATCGAATTTTAATTTTTGCGGCTTTTATTTTTGGGATGACACTTTTGAGGCTTTATTTTTGCATTTGACTTTTTAAGTGTTTATGGGTTCCCGTTTTTTCTGCTTTTTCTGTAATTGCTTGCTGATAACTTAATTTACTTCTTATCGCAATTTGTTGCTTATCACGCTTTTGTTTTGTTGGCTTCTTCCTGTCAGAAAAAAAAACATTGCGAGTCATGCTTTTTTGTATAATATGATTAAATCTTGGAAACCCACCCTTTTTCTACTATTAAAATCAATGTTGTAATCCCTCAATTATTGTAGTATTGTGACAAAAATCGCCTCAATTTAGATTTTCGGGTAGGATCCATTTCTTGTTTTCATTCTCGCATGCCTTCATAGATTGACATTGACCAGTTGATCAAGCTGGTTGAGAAGGGCATGGATTTCGACACAAAGGGTGGGGGGAAGAAGGGAAAGGACGGAGATGATGATGATGATGATGGCGATGAAGATAATGATGCAGACGGGGACGAGGGAGACCCGAATGAGCTCAGAGACAAGGAGCGTCTCAAGGACAGACTGTCGAGGAAAGTGTAGTTATGGCCTGTTTTTTGTTTTTTTTTTAAATTGCAGTGTCCATTCTTCCAAACCACTATGAAACAAGAAATTATTTTCCCTTCTACTGGCGTATACATTACTTTTTTTGACAGATTTAACGAAAATAATCTTTAACAGCGGATAAATTTTGAGTCGTGTTTTTTCCACGTGATAAATTTTCTTTTTGAATATAATTTGGGTTATATTTTACGTTTTTTAACCATTGTGCACTAAAAGGGTGGGAATTTTGTTTTTCTTACACATTCATTTGTTACCGACGCCTTGAAAGCTAAGTATTTACACATGCGAGCGCAGTGTTATATTAAGAATCCACATTTTTTCAACCAAAAGTTTTCAAAATGCCGCACCTGCTGGTAAAGAAGTTTCTGCGCACTCCACTGATTAAATCGTACATTTAATGGAGGAAGTTCTTATACTATCTCGAGCTACTCTCTTGTCATTTCTGATCATGTCCACTTAATTCGTTCATGTCGACCAGCGTTATGCAACCCTTATAGGTTCGTTAGCTGTCCACTCATTGCTATTCTTTTGTACATAATGTTTGATTTGCCATTATTTAATGAAAAATAAAATTATAACTGAATTGTCCATGACTGTTATAGGACCTCGATTGCCACCTCGAAGGCCAAGGGTTCGAAGGCCAAGAAGAAGAAGTCATCAAGTGAGATTGAATTGAACTGTATTTGATTGACATCAAGAGAGGGCTCACTATGTCGCACACTCTTTAGTCACCGTTTTTTAGATGGGGGTTATGTTTTGGCGGACTTCGTTTTTTCAAACCAATGATAATTATTCCAAAAGTTGGGTACCGCGATTTTTAACCGTCAATCATTGCGTTCGTATTTCATTTTGTATCAAGTAAATTGATTATTCAGAAAAGTTTATCAAGCTTTTGTTAAGTTATTTTTGGTGAAAAACAAGGCAGGGATTCAATTTTCAAAATTATTTCAAATCTTGACTTAATTTGTGGTATTTTTTTTCGAGAGTGTGCGACGGAATGTGCCCTTTGTTGTTGTGTTGTTTTGTTTACTTTTCGGGCACAGAAAAGTCAAAAGACGGAAGTCGCATCTCGGAGGGGGACGAATCAAACGCAGACACTTCCGACACGGGCGACGAGAGCGGAGCTGCCGGAGAGGTAGTAAAACATGAAACTTGTTGCGTGTTATTATTTAAGGGATCATTTATGGGAGATTTATTTTTTGATCCAGTACAGGTAATCGAAGGCTTTAAATCATTTCCAAAGATAGTTGCTTTCATTTTGTACAAAATCATCATTGTTGTTGTACAAAATGATCGTTCATACTTGTTTTGATAGGTGCCCGAAGACGTGCTGGCGGTGCTGAAAGAAGAAGTGGAGTTGAAGACGAAACAGTTGAAAGAGGAAAAGGCCAAGCTGAACAAACTGGTGGACGAGAAAGACGAAGACATGGGAAACCTAGAAAAAGCCAAAAACGAACTGGAAGAAAAGGTAAGTCATGTCATGGACCTAATGGTTGATCTCTGATTTCAATAACCAATCAGTTAATGGTTTTGAAAAAATATATCTAAAATTTGTGGCAGTTCGAAATTCGATATCTATATATTAAGACATTTATTGCCCAACAATTTGAAGAAAAAAAACGACTGAAAAATTGAAATGGTAGTTTTTTTATCAAAAGAAATTCTTTTTTCCTTGCTATAGAAAAAAAACTTAAAAAATCAGAATGTATTGATTTCGTTTTAAATTCAAGTATCATACGACATGATTAGTATAGCATTCAGCTCAGCTCCATTCGTATATAATATTTTTAGATGAAAGAGAACGAGAAGTTGCTGAAGGAGGCGCAAGGAGATTCATCGAAGGCGAAGAGTGCGATAGAGGCTGCCAATCAGCAGATAGAGCAGTACAAGGAGAGGAACAGACGGCTGGAGGAGGGACACAAGGGGTCGGAAGAGCAGGTGCAGCAGGCCAAGGAGGCCGTCAAACAAAAGGACGAAGAAGTGCAACAGGCAAAACAGCAGGTCAGCTCTCCTCCGTTTATTCACTTTATTCCGATCTTTTTCTGAGCTCTTTCCAATTATAACCCATAAGCAAAATATAGCCACAAATTCGTATAAGTAAAACCATGAACCTGGATGGCTATAATGTTTTTGTTTCTTGGCTGGAGTGGGGGCTATAATGGGTAAAAAAAAACGTTTTTGTTGGTCGAATTCGATTTGTTTATTCGGTTGCCTGTGTTTTAAACCCATTTAAAGAGGTGAATAATAGAACAGGAATTCACATAGGAAATGGCGTGAAGTTGAATTGTGTGAAAGTATTTGTCTAGTTGCAGGTCGGAACATGTCAAACGTCCGTCGTTTTTGTCATAAATAAAATAATGATGTTGCCAGTGGCTCTGATGTGAAAAAATGTGGTTGCTATCTGCTAAAAGAAAATAGCTGAAGTTAAACTTATATTTTTTTACTTTACAGATTTTCTCGGCATCGTTTTTTATATTGCCAGATTTTGAACTAAATTATTATTTTTAGGTCTTTACGATTTAATTCGAAATGAAATTTTTCTTTTTGTAGGTGGAGGAGGCCAAGAAAGAGATAGACGGCGCAAAAGAGGAGGCACAACAAAAGCAGGCCGAAGCAGAGGAACTCAAGCAGAAGGTGAAAAAGGCATAGTTTTTTTTAAATAACCGTGTTTGAAAATTTGTTACTCTCAGATCATAATAGTCTTGGTTTCCGTAACGTTAGATAGTTAGTTCACTAGGTCGCTTTTTTATAACTCAAATTAACTTTTTTTATTTGTCCAGTTACCACTGTTTGGACCCCATTTTATTAAAAAACTGGATAAAAGCAGTTCTTTGAATGGAAATGGCTGAAAAGCGGGAAAGAATTAATGAATTGTAATAACATGATTAGATAGATATTCATTAAAGGTCGGAGCCCAGCTGGGTCGTCTTGTGGAGGACATCCAGGACGTGGGCAGGATAGTGAGCAACGACCCCGAGTCGAAGGAGTTCGAGGTGGAGGCAGACTTGAACAACCCAGACGAGACTCTGAATGCAGTGAGAGTGCTTCTGACCAAAGTGAAACACTATGGCGAACATGGGCGCCGACCCAGCAAGGTAGTTTTTTATTAGTTGCCCTGGCGCCTGAAAATGTATTTTTTTGGCCTCAGTGTCTTCAAAATGTGGTCAATTGACTAAGTGAAGACATCTACTGTATGAAGTGATAACCGAGTTTATAAATCTCGCTCTTCAACTTGTTTAGGCAAGAGAGGAAAGTTTTCAGTCTTCTTTAAACCGAAGTATAAATATTCAACGTGCTTTATTAGACTCCTTTGAGTCAACGAGTCGAAATGATATCATAAAATGAGAAGAAGGGCTATATGAGACACCTGAAAAATTGTTCTGAAAGTTTGCATCTCATCATCGCAAATAAGTGTCTCTTAATAACTGCAATGAAAGGATCTATTTTATTTTGTTTTAATAAGGAAACTTATTTTTGATTATTATCATTATTTTGCAGGAGGAGCAAGAGGACAAGGGAGAACGGGAACAAGAGCACGTGGAGAACAAGATCATGTTGAACCAGGCGAAAGAGAAGATATCCCAACTGGAGTCGGAACTCAAGTCAGCTCACGAGGAGATGAAAGAGCTGCAGGAGAAGATCAACGAGAGGAGTGCCAGAATAGCTCAGATGGCAAAGGGTCAGTCGGGCTTAATGTTTCACATCAAACTGTTAAAAGTTTAAGCATGGGTAGAAATAGATTTATCGGCGTGACTTCTGCACATACGGATCTCAAAAGCTTTTTTCTTTAGTTTCGTTAAAAGAAAAATTAGTCAGTTTTGTAGTTTCTTTAGTTTTGCTTAAAGAAAATTGAGTCGGAAGTTTTGACCCAGACCGACACACAATTTTCTATAAAGGCGTTTGCCAGCGTTTAATAGTCTGAGGGTGGGGGGGGGGGGGGTTGGTAAGTCTCAAGCAAACGCAGTTCTTAAACGTATTTCAGTGTATGGGGAGGCAGAAGGAAATGAATGCAGCCGGCCCAAAAAACTTCAATCTAGTTCATTGACATGTAAAAAATTTATATGTGGAATGATCTAATTAATTTTTAGAGGGTGGCTATGGGGAGGATGGCTTGACCAACATGGAGCTGGATCCTGACCTCCAGATGCTACATGATGAACACGCAAAGCAGATAAGAGACCTGACTCAAAAACTGGAAGAGGAAAAGGTGTTAATTTATATCCATTGTAGCTTCTCAAATATTTAATATCAAGTTGATCAATAGAAATTTTTTAGAGTCAATGAACTTAGTTCAGACTTTTATATAGGTGCTGATGATTTTTTTTCGTTTATTTCTTCAGGCTCAAATTTGCCTTTTCGCGGTTTGACTTTTGATTTCTTTTGAAGTTCACTTAATTTCTTTTGTTAAAGGGAAGGCAAACTCCACTATTGAACAGCAAAAATGTAAGGGTCACAAATAACTTGATCGACTTCTAGTTTCGAAAGTGGAATTTAGTTTTCAGATTTCCCAGCGGAATGATAAATTTACCTATTGATTAAGTTTTCTCAAATCTCAAATTGTTTTAGATATTCAAAGAGATTTAAGGACATCTGTTTGTCTTAAAAAGTCTAAAGTTGGGTCTTTTTCGAAAAATATGTCTTTAATTTTTTTCTTTTTACTCGAGTACATTGACTCTTTTCCAACTGTGTCTTTCGATTGTGTCATTGTGTATCTATAGGCTAAAAATGGCGAGACGAATGACGAGAAAGATCAATGGCAGGTCATGGCTGAAAAAACCAAGGCGGACAATGAAAGACTGAAAAGTAGTGTAGGAATGGGAGAAGAAGGAATGCGTGGATCGCAAGGAGAGCCAGGAGCCGATGGAGAACCGCCAGAGCCAGGCGCCGAAGGAGAACCGCCAGAGCCAGGCGCTGAAGGAGAACCGCCAGAGCCAGGCGCCGAGGGAGAACCAGGTATAGATGGTAAACCTGGGGAGTCAGGCGCTGAAGGGGAACCAGGAGAGGACGGGGAACCAATGGAGCCTGGGGAGGCGGCGGGATCCGATGGACCTCCAGAAGGAAGTGATGGCGCTCCAGGAGAAGATGGGGTTAGTAGTGAGAAGGGCTGATAAGGGGCAATCTAATCTTACTGAGATCTAGCTTGTGGTTTTTTCAGCTTTTTTTTCAACTGCTGCCTTTTTCCGATCCATTTTTTTTCGGAAACCTCAATTGTCAGAGACCTCAAATAGTTTGAAAGTTCAAAATATTTTAAGCTATTCTTCATTCAAAATATAAGTTACTTCATGAATTCCAGTGATGGAACGAAACATCCGATTTAATAACTTTTGAAGTGACTCAAAAAAGAGTGAAGTTCAAAAAGACATCCCGCTGAATGCTTAAGATTTTTTAATGCGATTGTTATTTCCAATGCCATGGCCGAGTTTTGAAACTGTTCAGGAAATGGGCGAACCTGGAGAAGCGGGACCCGAAGCCTTACAAGACGAAGATGCAGCAAACGATCACCTGGAACCGGGAGATGACGTTCCCAGTTCTCCCGGACTCCAGGAAGGATCATCAGAGGCAGAACTTCAAAATCTGTCGCAAATTAAAAAGAACATGGATGCTGCTCTTGCGAAGAATAAGGAGCGAATCGAATCAGCGCCGCAGTCGGAGGAAAGTGGAAGCTCGGCAGAGTCGGGAGTCGACGCGAAGCCAAAATCCGAACCAGGTGGGCGGCCCTCGACTAAGAGTCAAAAAGAGCAAGGTGGAGGTTCGATGACAACGAAGCAAGTGGCCTTCTTAGAAGCTACACTGGACTCGGTGACAAAGAATAACAGAGCATTAGCGGCTGAAAACAGAACTCTAAAAGTGCAAAGATTACCAGCATTGCAAAATATGGTTAAATCACTACAAGCTAAATGTCAAGAATGGGAGAAAATGTATAACGAAGAAAAAAGGAAAAATGAGAGAGCTGGATCATAACTAAATTGGAAGAAGTGCGAGTTGATGGATGGCGGCTGTTCTTATAGTGTTCTTTACATAAACTATGAACCGAGACTATTTAAGCTTAGATTCATTCTGTTTTACGAGTGAGATACCAAGTCTATCCGAAGCATACATGCTTGAAATTCCAATAGAATTCACGTTAGTGTTATACAGTCACGAGAAATAGAAGTTGCAGTTGCAACTTTTTGATTGCAACAATCATATGAAAATTTTGTTTTCACTTTTTTGCCGTTTTCTCTGCAACTACATTACGAAGCCTTTGGCCTGGTAATGTATTTAAGATATTCGACTGACATTTTGACATAGCTAGATGAAATTAATTGAAAGGGATTAGCTAATTTACGCATTCAAAAATTGAGAAATTTTGTTTCGATGTGTAAATTGTTCAGTATATCATAACTTCTTGATATCAAAAAACAACCTTGCAAACAATGCAAGGGATTTGAATTCATGGGCTGAAGTTAGTCCAAAAATGACAAATAACAGAAATGAAAGAGCTACTTTGTCCGGAATTGAAAAACGGTCATATATATTTTGATATATTTTGACGACACATTTGCCAAAAGTTCAAGGGAGCCTATACCAGAAAGTTGGGCTAAATGTACACAGAACATAGCTGCTAATGAGAATCCTGTGCATGGATTGGAGCAGTAGTTGTCTGATATATTTTCTGGAACAGTTTTTTTGTCGACTTATTTCGATCATCAGAATTGAGGCTTATTTCGAGCTTCCAAAAAAACTAATTTGAGCCTGTAAATTCAAATTTATGTTGTTACCATGATATTTCCTCAGCGAGAACATCAAATTAGTATTAGCCAGGGTGTCAAAATAGTTTTGACACCCTGGCTAATTAAAGCCTTAAAAACAAGATTTTTCAATTTTCGGCCCCGAGGGCTAAGCCCGTCTCATTAATTTCATCTAGCATATGTCTAAAAATTCCAATCTTAGATAGTTGCAGAGAAAACGTCATTAGGAAAAAAGGAAAAATGAGAGAGCTGCATCATAACAAAATTGGCAGAAGTGCGAGTTGATGGATGGCGGCTGTTCTTATAGCGTTCTTTACATAAACTATGAACCGAGACTATTTAAGCTTAGATTCATTCTGTTTTACGAGTGAGATACCAAGTCTATCCGAAGCATACGTGCTTGAAATTCCAATAGAATTCACGTTAGTGTTATACAGTCACGAGAAATAGAAGTTGCAGCTGGAACTTTTCGATTGCAACGATCATATGAACTTTTTGTTTTCACTTTTTTTGTTTTCACAATTTTTGGCACCGACGGCTAAGCCCTTCTCAATAATTTCATCTAACATATGTCTAAAATTCCAATCTTAGATAGTTGCAGAGAAAACGGCAAAAACTTCCGTTCATTTGCACGTTGAAGTCTAAGAGTTGCAGCTTCTATGTCCTGGCAGTAGCAAGCATGATTGTAGTATTGTGGCAGTAACAAGCAGAAGTCGACATAGTGGAGATTGAGTTGTAGTGCGACCATTTTTTTCTTTAAATTCTTGTTGACTTCGCAGTTTCATTTCGCAGTTTCTATTTGGACAAGTTATGGAGCAAAAGTAACATCGGCTATGAAGAACTAGACAAAGAGCCTTAACCAGGAGGAATGATTATTGATTCAGAGTTTTACCGGATGTTTTTTGCTTGACGTAAAAGTTTATCCTCAAAGTTTTTTGAGTGATTCATTGGAAATTAGTTTTTCATTATTCATTCTGATTTTTATACGCTTGCGATTAGCAAATCTTATTAGATTTTTGAACACGTGTTCAGTATCCATTGCCAAGCCTATGTAAACAAGGTAATATTTGGTCAGTAAACTTTTTCCAGACAGCGACGCAAATTTTATGCCTGAATTACACTGGAAATAATGTAGCTTTTTTAAAAGCGTAAGCTTAAGCTATTTGGGCATTTATGGAAGGAAAGGCGTCATAGTCAACTGGTTAAAACAAGCGACTGTTGCTATGGAGGTACGAGTTGATTCTGGTCTGAACGTTGTTTTGAATTAGATAAAAAATTTTCTTTCTTTTTTGCCGATTTTAGAAATTGCCTTTTTCAGAGCTCTTTTTTTCCATTTTTGCTTGTAAGGTGTAAAGGCAAAATCACCTCGGTTATCAACTTGAAAATACTTAAGAAAGCCTAAAACATAGCTTATGTCATTAGATTTTAGCTATGTGTGTAATGGTATATCTATTGCTCTGCGAGCGTGTTCAAGTGTGTTAGCAACCTATATGGCTATGCATAAAGGCAATTATTAATCTCTTCAATTTATAAGTCTTTCATTTTGTCGACGTTTTTTGATTAAATAAATTTTCTTGATTTTTGGTTTAAGTTAGTTCAGGGGCGGATTTAGGGGGGGGGGGGGGCGGACGCCCCCCCCCCCTCAGGGATTCGACCCCCTGCCGACCCAAAGGGTCCCCCCTTCGATACTTTTTCAGAAATCCATTTTTGGCAGACCGACCCTAAAATTTTTCTAAGGCGCCTTCGGCGCCAATATATACTAACTTTGAGGGGGAGCGCGCGCCAAAAAAAACGCTATTTTTTATCAAAATTTTTTAAAAAGTGCCCAAAAACGGCTTTTTTTGACTGTTTTTTCAAAAATTTGCCTGCGGCGCCGAAAATTTTGCCAAAATAGGGGCAAAACAGTGCTTTGGGAGAGCTCAAAAAATCAATTTGGTCGACCCAAAAAAAAAAAAAGGTCGTCAAAATTTTGGAAATTTTTTTGAAAATCCGCCCCCCCCCCCATCGAGAAAATCCTAGATCCGCCCCTGAGTTAGTTGGTTGATAGCAAAAAATACGAGGCTAGGAAAAAAATAGAATGTAAATAATAAAATTGAATTTTCATAAATTAAAAAATCATACTTAAAAAATATTTCTTAAAAACGTTGGAGAAGACGGGACTGGAAATAATCTTCAAGAATTAATTTTGAATAGCATTTCGGAATTAAAAATCATTGCTCGCTGATTGATTTTGAGTGGTTGCCTTGCGTAGGTTGAAGATGTCAGTTGATTATATTTACCCATTTAGATGTATTGATGATAGATTTTAATTGTTTCCACGCAAAAATCTGTAAGTACCACTTGAAAGTATCACTTCAACGTCTGGAAGTACCACTTCAACGTCGAAAATTCGTTGAAGTATAAAATGATTCACAAGCTTGTATTGCAGCCAGCTGTAGAACATGTAGCGCATGATGTTGCGAGACCATTTTTTTAAATTTATTTGCTATTTTTTTGGTATTGCAATTGAGTATTAGACTTTTTTTGGTAAACAACTTTGTCCACAGTACTTTGGTGGTACTTTGGTTCATAATGAATTCAAAAATTGTAGTGTCTCTTGCACGCTTAGCCTGGTGATATCGAATACGCCTGACACGGCAAAGGTCCTAGGTTCGAATCTGACCAGGACCATTTTTGTTTCAAATGGTAATTGTTCCGGTTGATAAAAATTTCGGCCTTTTATTTGTCTGTTTTGTTCTTTTGGCTCTGTTGCCATATCTAAGAATCGTTTATTGTAGCTGTAAACAATTTTAACTGCAGTTATTCTTGGGCATTTTGAAAATTCGGCAGAATCGAAGTTAGCTTTTCACATTGGTTGTAATTTAACCAGCTCGCTTTGTTAGAATTTCATTTTTTTCGTCTTTTTTATCGGCTTAATAAGTTTCGGCCTAATTATTATCGAGTTAGTCGTCTCTTATTGCGTCGTTACGTTCGAAAAAAGTTTTTGTGCGCGTGGTGTGCTCTTAAGGGAAAATTTTTCTGAATTTCTTTTCGGCATGAACGGTTTCTGCTTAGGTTTTTTTGGCTTTGTTACCGCGGGGTAATTATAAATTGAGGTAAAAACAACTGCCTGAGATGGCAAAAATTTGCGGTTCGAATCTGGCCGGGCCTTTGCAAACTAGAGTTTTTGCTTTTTCGGATTATCATCCGTCTGTTTATTTTTGTCGGCTTAGAACCCTTAGCCCGATGGTTCAACTTTATACACATCCAAGTTGCTGTAACCCTCATGCTTGAGACGACAAAGCCCGGGAGTTCATTTCCAGTTGAGACTTGTTTTTTCTTGTAAATAGAAAATTTTGGCTAATTTAGATTATTGTCTGTCTGCTTATTTTTGTCTGCTTAATTCCGTAGAAAGGGTTGTTTTTGAAAACTTGTCTTCTTTATAGCATTCTCAAAGCTCATTGTAGAGTTTCTAATGGTGCAGGCATTTTGTTCCATAGTTTTTTTTGGCTTTTGTTGCAATTTTTATTGACAAAAACAATTTTTTGATTTTTTTTTTAAATTTGATTTTCATAACTTTCAGATTTGTATCGCAAGTGATGCGAAGCTCAGCTTGGCCTCTGTCTTGCAATTTTGGATGCATAGAAGCTAAGCTTCAGGAATTAGGTAATGCATATTGAAGTTATATTAAAACCAGTAGCGGATTTAGGTGGGTCAGACCCCATGACTGTTTCGACCCCCTGCTGACCCAAAACATTCCCCTCCTTTGGTACTATTTTAAATCCTCCATTTTGGCTGTTCGACCCCCGTTTTCGTTGTAAATGCGCCTTTGGCGCCAATATAGGCAATTTTGCCTAACCCCCTAATGAACAAAAGTTTTACCTAAAATTTTTTTGCAGGTTGGGGGTAAAAGGAAAAAGTTTTACTTAAAATTTTAACCTAAAAAAAGCTTTGTTCATTGAGGGGTTAGGCAAAATTGCCTATATTGGCGCCAAAGGCGCCTTTACAACGAAAACTAGGGTCGAACAGCCAAAATGGAGGACTTAAAATAGTACCAAAGGAGGGGAACGTTTTGGGTCAGTGACCAAAAGTTTTACCTAAAATTTTTTTGCAGGTTGGGTGTAAAAGGAAAAAAAGTCCCAATATATAGTTATTTCGAGCAAGTAGCGCGCGCCAAAACAACGGCAATTTTTTGTCAAAACTCTCCAAAAGTACCTATCAAAAATTTGCGGTGCAGAAAATTTGGTCGGAATGGGGTCTTTCTAGTGATTTGGTCGAGCTCAAAATCAATTTGGTCGACCTAAAAACGATGACTCCCCCCCCCAACCGAGAAATTTTAGATCCGCCCCTGATTAAAACATTAGTAGTATCCGTATCCTGACTGAGAGGACTTTAATATGATCCCCTTGTGCGTTTCTCTAAGCACCAATAATCCCGCAAAGATATAATCTGATGCATTTTTACCGCACTTTATTTGAGTGATAAGACAAAGGTTACCTGATAACTCTACAAGTGGATCTTGGATATCTAGGTTTTTGGAATGTTTCAGACCGCCATGATAAACTCAGGGAAGCTTGCTGGAAAGACTATTCTGGTCACGGGAGCCAGCAGAGGTATTGGACAGGCTATAGCCGAAAAGTGCGCCAAAGATGGGGCAAATATTGTAGTCGCTGCCAAAACAGCCCAGCCCCACGCAAAGCTGCCCGGAACAATCCATTCAGTCGCCGAAAGGATAAACGCATTAGGCGGAAAGAGTTTAGCATGTGTAGTTGATGTTCGTGATGAATCCAATGTTCAATCGGCGGTTGAACAAGCTGTGAAAACATTCGGTGGAATTGACATTCTAGTGAATAATGCTTCGGCTATTAGTTTAACGGGAACTGAAATTACTACAATGAAGAAGTATGATTTGATGCACCAAGTGAATGTTAGAGGAACCTACATGATGACTCAAAAATGTTTGCCCTACCTCAGACAAGCGAAGAACCCACACATTTTAAATATTAGTCCACCGCTGATTATGAAATCCATTTGGTTCCAGAATCATGTGGCCTATACTATGTCCAAATATGGTATGTCAATGTGTGTGCTGGGAATGGCAGAGGAGTTTAGAGATGCAAGGATAGCAGTTAATGCACTGTGGCCTAAGACTGCAATCGCAACTGCGGCTGTTGAGATGCTAGGAGGGGAATCCATGGTGAATCAATCTAGGTACCTTGATGGTCATTTTCAAATCGATTTTGATAAGACTATGTATGCATGTGGGAAGATCAACATCAGAGTTTTCAGCTCTTCACGAGCTACTATTGCCTAATAAAACTTAAGTGATACAGTGTTCATGTTCTAAGGAAGAGGGCGGCTGTGCTAATTTTGCTACTAGAAGGAGACTAATAACTCATATAGAGGTCCGATTAATATGTTTGAAAATTATTTTGCTTGTTCTAGGAAACCAGATATCATGGCAGATGCAGCATACGTTATTCTGGGCAAGGACTCCGGATCATACTCTGGTAATTTTGCCGTAGACGAGGAAGTTTTGGTGGATGTGGGAGTGAAAGATTTCGACCAGTATGCACACAAACCTGGAGCCAAACTCATTCCAGACTTCTTTCTAGATTCGCCAGAGGCTGAAGCGCTAGTGCACAAACATGGTATACACAATTCAATTTCGTTAGATGTTATAGTAAACTGGAATTGAAAGTACAACTAGAAATGCTCGTAATGGTTGTTTGTAAGGTTCACTAGAATTTTTCAACCATCCATTTATTACAAAACTTTGAGTTCTTTGGTTATAAACAAAACTCATGTTGAGCCTTTCGAAAAGCGTCGATTAAATTTTAATTTTGATTTCATTGGTATGCAGAGCGAAATATGAAGCAAGGATCCAAATCTCCATCTAGCAGTGGTGACGCATCGTCTCTCACGGATACTCCAGAGTCAGTGATAAATGAAATGCAGTCGATGATCAGTCCAGAAATAGTGAAGGACGTTGGGAAGGTGTTCCTGTTCGAACTCTCTGGTGATCATTCAGGTACTTTTAAAATATGTTTCAGTTTTCAATAGAAGTTAAGCTTCAATTAAAATGTTTTCTGTTCATGAGTTTGAGCCCCGAAAAAAAATAAATAAATCATAAAAAACGCTTCTCAATTATAGTTTATTTATAAACGAAGCAGTTTTCTTTCAATCGCAATGTATCAGTTGTCTGAAACAGAACTTAAACATTACAATATAAATTTCTGTCTTGTTATATTTATCTTTCGTGTCTGTTTTAGGTACTTTTTATCTCGACCTCAAGCATGGTACAGCGGGCAAAGGTCATCCGGATGGCTCAAGTGACGTCACAATGAAACTAAGCGGTTCAGACTTTGTGAATATGGTCAGAGGAAAATTGAATTCAACTACAGCTTTCATGTCTGGTAAATTGAAGATCGAAGGCGACATGTTTGTGGCAATGAAGTTGGAAAAGCTGATGAAAAAGATTCAAAAGTCCAAGTTGTAAATAATTATAGGATTCTTTATTACTTGGTAGATGATATAATACAATTAAAGAGAGTAAAGTCTTCTTCGTACGTTTGTTGCGGCGCATTCGATGTTATTCGTCGTTTGTTGCGGCGCATTCGACAGTAGCGGGCTTAGGGGAGGGAGGGACGTTCCCCCATTCCACAGAAATTCCTCTTCTAACCACGCAAAGGGTCGACCCTGTAGTAGTTCTTTAATACATCCATTTTTGGCAAACCAATCCTAAATTTTAAGCAAAAATACGCCTGCTGCACATATTTTGGCCAAAATAGGATCTATTTATGATCTGAGAGAGCTCGGAAAATCAATTTGATCGATCAAAAAAAAGGTGGACAAATATTTCAGAAGTTTTTTCTTGTTTTTCAGACTACTTATTTTTCTTGTTTTTTTAAACTTTTTTCGATACTCCTTTTTTAATGTTGAACAAAAAACAATGAAAGTTGTTAAAGTTTTGCTGCTTTGTTTCAGATTAGTTTGATTTGGTTGGAAATGTTGAGCTGGAGAAACAATTTGTTTACTGTCGAATTTCATCTATTGGTTGAGATAAACTCAATATCTGTTCCCTTAGCTCGAAGTTTTCCCGGAAGATCGAAAGGATCAGATCTGATTGCACATATTTGCTCTTACTTGAAAATTTGCGAGTATCACTATTTTGGATTATTGTACAAAAAACCTTCAGGACAGCTTAGATGGCTGAATGAAGAAAAAACAATTAGTCGTCAGTTTAAATCGAACCGAAGCGTGATTGACTTATTTTTTCAAGTGAAGTTTCATGTACCGAATCCTGACCGACTCGAATATGAAGCAACACGTTATCAGTTCTTTCTTCAGGCGAAGCGAGATATTTTAAATGGCGTTTTAATGATCAATAACTACGAAGTCCTAGCAAAACTTTTTGCCCTAGTTTTGCAATCCGAACTCGGAAATTATTCACCCGAGCGAGATACAGAAAATTACAGCTCCCAGTTTAATTTCATTCCTTTGCAGAGTTTTGAATTTGAATTCAGGGCGCAAGAAATTCATAAAACTCTGAAGAATATTTCCTCAGGTGAGGCTGAATGGCGTTTTCTACGAGAGGTGAAAAACCTTGATTTTTACGGTATGAAAACACACCTAGCGTTCGGTGAAAGTGACCGTGAGTTTGAAATTGGTATTTCAGCTAATGGGTTGTATATTTTTTATGAGCAATCGCGCCGAGCGAATCACTCCTGGAGTCGTGTGACGAAGGTCGAACGAAGCGGTCATAAAGTCTCATTTTTTACCGTCGGACGAAACCCGAAGCCAGATTGTCTACAATTCAAGTGCTCCTCAAAAGATGCTGCTAAGCATTTATTCGATTGTGCGAATCAGCATAAAAAGTTCAATGCGAATTATGAAATAAACGACTTGTCGGGAAAGTTTTCTCATAAAGTTGTAAATGAAAGCAACGTTTATGCTCAGCTTGAATCGAGTTTGAAATTTGAAAGATGTCCAATGAAACGACAACCGAAACGAAAACTTCCCGATCGGATTTTATATGTTCAAAGCAACGAGCAGTCAAGTGTTTCGAGGTCCAGTGGCATTTTTAGTAATAGTGGTTTGAATTTAGCCAACCGGAACTCCATTATGTTGCCTGGTTCACGAGGTCTTAGAAACCGAACTCCTAGAAACCGCGTGGCGAAGTACTATGTGCCTAGATCATCTGCAGGTAGCGACTCGGAAGCACTTAATGGAAATCGAGTTCGAACCGGAGGAAGTGCTGGTTTTATGAGAAATGTAAATTCTGTATCTAGTGTCCCAATTTCGAGAAAAGTTTATAGGATGTCGGCATTTGATATCGACTGCGCAAGTGACATGGAGTTCCAGTCAGAATTTTCATCAAGAGTACCCGACCTTAATAATTCAAAACGGTTCAAGCATGCAAATGATTTGAACAAAAATATGTCTGAAAGCACCGAGGACCAAATGCATGTTGCGCAGTATCATAGCCGCCAAGTATCTCAATCTAGTCGAATAGGCCTCAAAATTCAAAGCAGCCGAACCGTGAATTTAAACTTAGAAAACGATAGACCAGAAAAGATTATTCCGACTGTTCGGATCCATGATTCCGAAGCGCGACCAGAAGGAAACAAGGAACCGAAGTCTCCGCTGCCGACGTATGAACAACACATGAATTCTCGCAACCAGATAAAGAGATCAAATTCGGCCAAATACCGCGATGAGAACTTAGCTGCCGTTGTAGCCAGTGATGTTAATGGAAATGTGTTGTCTCCGATTTTGCCGACCGCTGAAAGAACTATTTTTGCCTCAAAAAGTGCTGTTAATGTAAAACCCACTTCCAGTTTTGCTAGGTGAGAATTCCTGACATGATTTCCACAGTTTTTTTCTTCAAAACCTTAAAATTACTGAGCGCAAACAAGCAAAACTAAATGCTGTGCCAGCAAAAACCGATTGTTCCGACCTTTGTATTAACAATTTTTAGTGACTTTTTCTGACAACCTTATATCCGAATTAAAACCTTCGAATTCGAGTGTAACAGGCAAAAATTTTTGACACGTTTTTTCTTGATACAGCGATAACTTTTGTGAATTACTTTTTTGGAATCCGAGTCACAACTGAAAGGTCGTGGAAAAGCCCACATTAGGCTAAAGTCTCATCCTATGCTTTCAAGAGCTGTTGGAACAATAGTAGTTGAATTTTTCCGGACCATCATTTTTTATAATCATTTTACTGAATTTAAAATACTGAATTTTTTACAGATTGAAGCAGTTGTCGAAACAAAAAGAAACTTCTTCTGATTCGCCAAATTTGTACCCGGAACTTCAAAACGGCAAGGAAAATCTGAAACCCGACTCGAGGAATGTAGCAGGTGACAACTCAGCTGAATCGGATTGTTTTCAAATTTCGTCCACTCCTTGCTCGCCAAAAACAAGATCTGTTCGCAGTTTCATCATGAACGAACCTTCCCCTGTTGCAAGTTTGAGGAAAACAGGAAGTGTACGCTCCACAAATAATCTGAAAAAGGAGCACTCGTCTAAAGATGCTACTTCTGCTGCGAGTATGATAGCGTCATGCGTTAATGGAATAGCATCTCAAGTGATTATGCAAACCACAGCGGATACTTCCGGGTTTGAGAGAAGTACTTTTACTGTTTATTTGTAAAGATTCGCTTTGAAGTGAATTGATTAAGGTGTAAGAGCAGTATTATTGATGAGCACCATGATTATATCAGATGATTCGTCCATAATCAGCTAGGGTTTTTCTAAAAGGTCTTTGACCATTTTATCCACCTTTTTTATCAGCCCATTTGTTTTCTAGATTTTGAAATTGTCTGAATCCTCCCAGCTAGAATAATCGAATTCCCGAAAATTATATTGGCTCATCAGAATTCAGTATTCAAAACTTCTATGTGAAAAATTACTTAGAAATAATTTGTTAGGACCCCTTCAATCGTTTAAAAACTTACTTTCTTTTTAATAATTTGGCTTATAGGTCTAATAATGTACGTTTTGGTTGGGTCACCAATTTCCCATAGGAAAGAAGGAGCGATGAAAAAACCAAAGCCTCAATGAAACAGAACTCACTATGCGTTGGAACAGCTTGATAAAGGACCCGTGCCAGTTTTGCTGCCTCTTCTGCGAAGTTTTTGACACTTGATGTTCCGGCGGGCGAGTGGTTGCGATCACTGTTCAGACTGCGGACTACCATAGACTGCGGAAACCATAGAAAAATATCAGGGTTGGAATCAGAGTTTTTACTGACTTTAACAAAAAAGAACGTGTTAAATCAATTAACATAGGCGATTCAACAATCGCAACAAGCGACGGAGGAAGACGATGCGTGTTTTTTATAACAAATTTAAATTAAATCTCGCGCAAAAACAGTTCTTTAAGCTGTGGCGTATATGTAAAGTCTTTCATCTTCGAGAACTTTTGCCGGATAGTTTTGAGCTCGTTTTCAGCAGCTTCTTTCCTAGCGTCTTTGGATGCGTCATCAAGTAATAAGAACTCATTCACAACGGTCTTGAATCCACCATAAGTCAAATTTATATTTTGGTGATGTTACATTGTTTGACAGACAAACTTTATACAGTCACACGCATGGTTGGTGGCATTGGGGTAACATTGATTGAATCGGATGAATTACGTATTAATTATCCATATTACTACATTGAAGCGGGGTTTTTCGTGATACGAGCGGTCTTGTTTTGTTTGCGATACTTTAATTGGAAACGTTTTGAAAGGTGGAAACGTTTCAATTAAATGGAAACGTTTCAATTAAATGTGGTCTTCGAAACGATGGTCAACGCAGACTACTTGATCGTAAAAAGAAGGTAAAAGGAAAAACTTTTAGAAATTTAAGTGAGATTTAAAAAGACAAGAGCTGAACCTCAAGTGAAAGCACGAAAGAAACTCAAGTTTATAAAGGAAATCAGGATTGCAGCACAACAATATATGATGTTTAGTTTAAACTGCCGCGCCTTTTCTTGATCTTTGGTTTTTCTATTTCCGGCAGAGGCCGTCTCGACGCCATAACGCTTTGTCGCTCCTTAATAATTTGGACAGCCATAAATTGACAACCGGTTTTCGATCTGCCGATTTCAGGGAATTATATTGGTTTTCACCTAAAGTTCGTAGCTCTTTTACAGAGTTGTAAGATCCACCACAGAAAGTTACTTCAAAAAGTGCAGAAGAAGTACCGATGTCCTAATGCTTTCTGAAATTTAACATACATATCAACAAGTGGTGACTAGAAGACAAACGTTTCATCAAAATGTCGGCGTTATTTACTTAAGTCCTGAACAAAAGTGTCGCATGCGAAACGAAACAGGAGTTGAGTCTTGTGAAAACAGGCCGGGAAAGGTGTTTATCAAAAGTGTAAAAAACTAGTCATTTCTTCAGGCATGCGTACCTGTGACTGTCACATAGCGCTTCACGCCTATGTTAGTTACTCATTATTAATTACCATAATTGGTGCGAATTAGACTTAAATATCAATGCCATTATATGTCAATGACAAAGTGTTAAACTCATATTTACTTAATGCAAACAATCAATGAGAAAGTAATTGAATCATTAATTGAGAGAGAGCCATTACAGTAAAACAGCTCAAAAATAGTAATTAAAAGATTAATCCTCACTCTTATAAATCAAACAGCTTAGACTCAGCTGAGAAGGAGGTAGACATCACGAAGCACATCCCTGAGTCGAAGATATAGAGCCTAGACCGCGCATCCCTTTATTACTCTCAAACACAATTCCTCATTTCTAATCATTAATTATCATAGCAAGACACGCTATATAACATGGCGACTATGAGTGGGATGATGTTACCAACCTTTCAAGACAAGCTGAAGCTGATTGCAAATTAAGAGTGAAAACAAGACGACATCCAACACAAGACGACTCCAAAAGCCACAAAGCTGAAAAGAAGATCACGGCAGTAACTTGCTCAAACAGAAAAAAAAGAGGGGCAAAAACAAAAACTGACTTCAGCCAGTGAGAGACGACAGCAAGGGGCAAAAGGAAACTTCAACTGTTTTGTGTTGATGACAACTACTACACTTCTCCAGGAAAGTGATACAGTGTACAAAAACAGTTAGTTGAAACTTCAAACTCTCGGTGCTTAAAGTAAAATTGATGAGTGCTCATTTGAAACTAGTCATTTGAAATCATCCATGAGAACCGCCTGAAAGCCTATCCAGTGCTTAAATCCTAACCAAATTTCAAAAAAAATAGTGGAATAATATTAAAGCCGCAAGACAAGTTAACTTAAAAAGTAGATAGTTTAAAATATAGAAACAAGAGTTAATTAACTCCTACTCGTAACTAATCATAGTACGAGCTACTCTATATATTTTCTCAAAGACGATAATTGCGTCATTAAATTTTAAGTACCCACTAGGCATTAATTGTTTCCACTATATAATAGCAACTGATTCATCTGAAATCAATTTTGAATCAGACTTGACAATCATATAACTGTGATAAGATGGCGCACGCTCAAATCTCAGTCGAACCATTTGGCGGAAGCGATAACGAAGATTTCGCCCAATTCGAACAGCTCTTCCAAGGATACGTTGGAGTTGCGGGAATCGCAAATGCTCAGCAAGCGAATTTTCTACAGTTGCACCTGCGAGATAGCGCTCTGCGATTCTACCAAACACTGCCAGCACTAACAAGAGCCGATGTACCTCTTAGTCTAGCGGCACTACGCGACCATTTTTGCAACCCTCAATTGCAAGAGGTCCACGTGCTAAAACTTGAACAATCAAAGTTTGATATCAAGCGAGACTCACCAGAGAATTTCCTGGTAAACCTCACAAAAAAGGCACAACGAGCCTACCCGACACCGGATCTACCTGCCGTAGCCCCACTCGATGCGGCACTAGTAGGCACAGCAGCTGATGCAGACGCAGCGCGTTTCCATGGAGAGACGGCGCAACGTCAAGAACGACTTGACGCAGAAAATGATCATAGGAACAACCAGATTAAACGTCTTTTTATAAAAGGCATGCCCAACTGGCTCCGTTCGAAGATGATGGAACAACCAGCTGCGACAACAGTACAAGAACTTTGCAACCTGGCACGCAAACAAATGACAATTAGAGACGTCTGTCGTAATGAGGATTACCCAGAAGATAGTTTCAATGAAATTGGAGATACAGTTTCTCACAACCTAATCAGTGCGTTGTCAAAACTAACAACAGCCCAGGAACAAATTGAGAAACAACTCTACGAAGTCCGTAGTGAGCTATCGGATCAGAGAAAAATGATCCAGTCACGGCCACAAGGTGACAACGGAAAAACCCAGCAGAGCTCTCAACTGAATAGCCAAAACACTGGTGGGAATAATAATCAAACTCAACAACAACAAAATCACGGAAATAATGCACAAAGCCAAGGGACTGGACAAAGCCCAAACCAGAACAATACATCTGGCCCTAATCAATGGAATGGATATCAAGGGAATGGACAACAAGGATACAATCAAAGAAGGGGTAGATTTGGTAAAGAAAAAAAGAACGGACAGCAGAGAATTGATGGGGGATACGGAAACCAAGGTTTCCCTGGCTTCCAAAATTTGCAGTACCTCCCACAAATGTTCCAGTTTCCCCCACAGATACCTGGAATTCAACCGAACCCACAGTTCCAACAAAGCCAGAACTATCCTCATACACAACAGAATGTCCAATTCTCTCCGAACCAGATGTACCCTCAACAACACCAACAGCAACAAGCGATAGCCACGCAGCCAAAACAGAACAACCCGTTTGCCCAACAAGCCTCACAACCAATGATGCAGCAGGTGCACACGCAAAATCCTAGTACATCAGCAGTACGCACTGGATCAAAGTTCTGTGACCACTGCGGGAAGTTTGGCCATACTATCAGCCAATGTTGGTACAAACCCAAGCCACAGGGACAGCAGCAACAGAATTTCTCGTTCCAAATGGAACCAAAAAACTAATTCAGCCACAAAGTCAGTCAGTCAATTCATCTAAATCACAAAAATCACGTAAATTGCGAAAATCACGCAAATCAAATATTCAAGATGTACAAGACGATGAAATTATTGATCTGTACGCAGTCATCCCAACCGAAGGAACAGTGCTAACTTATATGAAAATAAGATTAGCGCCAAGCCTCCAAAGAAGAGTTCTGATTGACACAGGAGCATGTGCAAACGTAATTTCGAAACAAACATTCGATGAAATTAAAAACGAAAAAACACTATTCGCACCCTATAAAACGGCAAAATCAAGCCTCAAGCAAGTGCGATTGGCAGGAGGCCAACTGGTGTCAATTGAAACTGAAGTAACCATTGAATTCTGTATGGCAGGTATGAACTTTACGGAAACGTTCCTAGTGCTGAATTCAGCGAATTCAACGATCCTGGGAAACCCTTTCTTTAAAAAACACCATATACATGTCTGCTCAAAATACAATCTACTTCACTTTCCAGACTTGACACTCCAAATCAACGAAATTAAACCCGTCAATGCACCTAGACGCACTAACCGAGTGAAAAAATTCCCTCTTGTTCTCACTAAGAAACAAATGATTGCACCGCGAATTACTGCCAATTCGCACTTTTCTTCTAGTTCTTGTGATGGAACTACGATTCCCGTCGTTTTTTCCATGTCAGTCAGAATATCTTGCAATTGGCATAATCGAATGCCAATTGCAAGATATTCTGACTGACATGGAAAAAACGACGGGAATCGTAGTTCCATCACAAGAACTAGAAGAAAAGTGCGAGTTGGCAGTAACCTCATCGATAAATGAAGTTACCAAAAACAATACCGTTTACGTCACAGCATTTAATATGACGGAACATAACTTAACGTTGCCCTTCAAAACCGAAATCGGAAAATTTTCGATACTCACGCTAACCAAGTACGAAAATTTAATACAGATCGAGCCGCAAACTTTGGCATTAGCGAAAATGAACCAGCCGGATAATGTCGAACTCGGAATCAATGAAATAATTTCGCAAAAAACAAGCCCTTCAATAGGCTCAGAACAAAAACCACCACCTGAATACGAGAAATTTTGGTTCCCGACGCCCGAAACGTGCCCTAACCCAGAATCACTTCCCAGTATTCAAAGGGAAATTTATGACCAAATCCTCTACTTTCAAGGTCTTGAGAAAATTGAACCAAATAATAACATTCAAGACCGGTTGACCTTTTTGAGTAACTTTCAGTGGGAGAATTCAGTGTTGACAAATGACCAAAGGTCAGAAGTAGAACATTTGCTCATCGAATATGCGGATATATTTGCCAAACACATTTGACGTGGGTTATAATTCCGACCTAAAGATCAACTTGACACCCGAAC